CAGCAGCCAGATGTCTCTTTTGCCTTCTCCTCTGAAGGCTGGACCAGCCCACCTCTCTCAGTCTCTCCTCATACATGCTGTCCTCCAGGCCCCAACCAGCTTTTTGTTCTCCACTGGGCTCTCAGAAGTTTGTCAGGACCCTTTTTGTACTGAGGAGACCTAAACTGGACCCAGCTCTCCCAGCACGGTCTCATAAGTGCTCCCTTGAGCTGATGGCTAACCTGGGCCAGGATGCCTGTAGCTGCCTTTGTTGCAAAGGCACTCTACTGACTGATGTTCAGCTTGTTGCCCACTGAACACGCAGGGCTTTTCCTGCAATGTTGTCATCTCTCTGCAGGCCCAGTCTGCCCAGTTGCATGGGGTTAGCCCAGCGCAGTGGCAGGACTTTGCATTTGCCTTGGCTGAACGTCAGGAGGTTTGTGCTACTCCATTCTGGGGGCTGCTGTGGCCTCTCTGAATGGCAGCTCCAGCATAACAACTTGTCCCCAGAGCTTTGTTGTCATGAAAGCTTGCTCATCATCACTGATGTTGGACATTGCTGGGACTGATGCATCTTCACACATTTCAGGAGATGCCGACACTGGCAGCTTGGGAAGTACCCAACCGCACTGCTTCCCACCTTCAGGCCACCAGACACTTCTCATCAGCCCTGTTGAGTCATCCAGTTGTAGACCCATAGTATAAAACCACATCCTGAGATGATCCAGGTTGAAAATAGACACAAGCTTTCAACAGCTTTAAACACCTGGAGGAAGAGGGAACATCCAAAGCTGGTTGCGTTTCTGTTGCTGGTGCCTTGTGAAGCTGTGGCCCGAAAGACCACTTTGCTGTCCCAGCAGCACTGCAGTTTTTTCCTCACTATTAGTGGTTCTCAGTTGTGTCATTAAAAGTTTCTGAACTTCTGTAGTCTTAACTTCTGAAAAGGCTCCAGGGGACTGCTTGTGCCACTGTAACATCTGGGAACAGGAGCTATATTTACCCCTTCCCAAACTAGGGATCAAAAACAGTGTTTATTCCTCTGTAGGGCTCAGACAAGTGCAGAGGTGTCTACAAGCAGTAGTTGGCAATTTAAAGGTGGCACACTCCTGACCTGTGGAAGGTCAAACTGTTTATTCCAATGCCCACACTCAGATCCTGGTGAGGGGCCATCCCCAAGGAGGGATGGAGGGTGGGGAAAGGCTCAGCTGAGCTGGCACCCACCAGGTCCTACATCCTACACTTGGGGAACCCCATGGTCTCACTCTACACCATCCAAGACAGATGGACGAGACCTGATGACTGCATGTCATTGGAGTGACTCCAGCTGTGGTGACCATACCACCAGCTGGTGACAGTGGTGCTGGCAACCATCACATGCATCCAGAAGGCTCTAATGCACCGTTGCTCCGGGCAGGTTAGATGGTCACCTGTAGACTCAGGTTGATGGCCAAGAGCCCACAGGTCCTGAGGAGCAAGCAGGACCTGGTTCACAGGCTGAAGTCGAACGCCATTCTCATGGCAGCCAGTGCTATGCTTAGAACCAGAGACAATCCAATACAGTCATATTTTATTTTTAAAAGGGGATAAAGTGGAAAGTCAAGAGGATTAAATATCACATATGGCACAGAGATTGTCTGGAAAGACCAGTTTAGATTCACTCTGGACACTTAAGCCGATATTAGCAAATCCAAACCCTAAACAACATTACAAAGGGAAAGCCTAAATGGAAACCAGCACTATTAAATCAATTTAAAGAAGCTGATCAGAAATAAGATAAATGTTCTTAAACTTGCTGAAGTTGCATCCACATGAAGACAGTAAAATAACCCCTGGTAAGTTAACTGGCAACAGTGTAAAACAAACAACGAAAGCACCAAAATTTGGCCCCTTGCTCTTCTACTATGAGGAATGACATCTGCAGTTAGATACATTCCTTTCTTCAAAGGCACCAGAAGCAGAACTTTAATACTAGAAAATGTTTGAGCAGTAGCCAGTCAAATTCAGAGTGAGTATTCAAATAAAATAGGCTGGTAGAAATGTGAAGAAACTCTACATCCACCTTGGCTGAGGAGGTGCTTTGGTGGATCCCCAGGCTAGATGATCTCTTTTACAAACACTTGAAAAGGTCTGTCCCAGCACTGAAGAAGTGCAAGTGAGTAGTAAGATGGAGAAAATTACATTTCCAGTCAAAGTAAATCAGGTATGAAACTCAAACTTTTCACTCCAGCATGTCATCTGCTGCCTAGACTCACCTTTGCTACCAGAAGACTAGAAAATGCAAATATGCTGGCTTTTAAAGAGGTTGTCAGAGGTAAAGAGACTACAGACAAGTAGATTTACTATGCATTGTGGGCAGATACAAAAGCTGTAATAAATGGCAGACCTGGTTGATGTTTGGACAAATTATGTCACAGGGTAGACTGAATCCAACTTTTGCACAGGAAAATCACATCTCAGAAATACAATTTCTGGAGGAGTCAACAAGATATAGGTATTGGACATCACATGGTCAGCTGGGGAGGGTCTCTCTCAAAGCTTGCAGGGGAGAAGCTGCCATAGGCTAGGGAGGGAGATCCTCACTTGGATAAATGAGAGATCAAAGAAGGGAGGAAGATCACCCAAGGAGCACACTGTGCCAACAGACATCTTGTAAAACATCTCATCCACATGTAGCAGGTGCCAAAGGTGGAAGCGTGAGAACTTAGGAGAAGATTGGAGAACAGGACAAGGCACCATGTAAATCTAAGCTGTACCCACACCTTCCCAGCTGGGTGGAGGTCCAGGTCTGGTCACCCAGCCCCAGCAGGTACATGGCCTAAGCAAGGGAGGGAGAAGGATGAGAGGCAGAACTGGGAGAGCAAGGAGGCTTGTTAACAATATAAGATCTGGAACAACATGAAGAGGATAAGTAGAGAAGATAATCTTGCATCACCAGCAAGAACTGCAGCCATTGGCTGTGAGTCTCCAAATTGCATCAAAGGCTGGTCCAGCACCTTCCTTGACCCAACACCTCTATGCTCTCTCCAGCAGTTAGTTGGGACCCAGGTGCCTGGGCTGATCTCCTCTGCACCAACCTGGTCCTTGCCAGCCCATCTCACCAGTGTGCTCCCACAGCACCCAGCCAAGGAGCTCCAGGTGAAACCACTGCAGCAAGCTAAAGGGAGTGCAGAGAGAGATGGTGAAGCTCCTTGTTGCAGGATGCTACCAGTGCCAAGAAGGTGCCTCACCCCAAGAAGCCCTTAGAAACATTCAAGGAAGAAAAGTCCCATGTCATTAAATATACAATGATATCTGGCCAGGTTTGCTGGGGGGAACAAAGGGAGCAGGTACAACCCTTTTTTTCACCCTGTCCCTGCATGCCTCTCCTTGCCCCTGTGCCTGCCCGCTGTTGAAGGCAGGGTGCTGGGAGAGGAACTGTGCAGCCTGATGAACATTGGATGAGCAGCAGGTAGAGGGACAGGCTTGATGAGAGGGCTGAGGGATTGTGGAGGGCTGCGGTGGAGACCCCCTGCCTACTTTACAAGGAGGGGACTCACGCCCAGAAAAGGTCTGAAATTACAACCTCTATGCATCCTGCTGTGGCAGAGAGAAATGACGTCACTGCTCTCTGGCAGGGTGATGCCTGCACATATCAGGAAGGAGATATTTGTCTGGAACACCCTGTGGCGACACTGGGCCTGCCCATCACACAAGGCCCTTGGTGAAGGGAGTTGCTGGCAGTGGGATGTTTCCATCTGCATTAATACATGTACCAAAATCAAGCCTCAAGGCAAAGCTGTGTGTCGGCCTGGCACTCTTGGGAGTGCTGCAAATGCCGTACTGTTCCAGTCCAAATTGCTGGGGAGAATTCCTGATGGAAACGCTGGGATCCTTCCAAGGAGGGTGGAGATGACACTGGATTGGAAAGTCCCAGTGAGGCCCTTTGACCTGCTGCTGCTGGGACATGTCCAGCTCTCATGATCCTCAAGTTCAGGAGAGGCAGTTTCCCAGATGTATTTTCCCAGTCTGTGGGAGCAGAAAGGAGCACCTAGGAACATCCCAAGGTGCTCAGCTGCTGGGACAACACCTTCCAGGGGTACCTGTTACAGTCACGCAGCAGCAAGTCAGGTCCCAGGCTGAAATGAGCATCCAGGTGATGGGCAGGGACAGGCAGGGTGGAAAGGCCAACAGAGAGGATTTTGGGAGGAACTTCCTTTTCCAGGAAAGGCACAAGATGCTTCATACCCTGCCAGACCTTGGTGCCTGTGAGCACTGCCTGAGCTCTGGAGATAAGCGTGTGTGAAGTGACAGGGCTTCACTGGGGACATGGGTTACCCCGGGTGGGCTGTGGTTTCTCCCAGGTGGCTTCGAGGAGCTGAGCAGAGCAGGAAGGGAAGGATGGAGTGGGATTTCAGAAATATAAATTCACAGGAAGACAGTCTCTAATGGCAGATGTCCACCACCACCGGATAATCTGAATCCAGTGGGGGCTCTCTCTGCATGGCACCCAGGGACAGAGCAGCCCCATGCCAGCTCTCCAGGTTTGGGTCCAGAGGATTCAGGCAGCCACCTTCCACCTTCCATCAGCCCTGCAGCACTGCAGGGATGAGGGGTCCAAAAGCTGAGTCTTGCCCCTGTCTTGGCTCAACCTGAGCTGGTGGACAAGCAGGGCTCTGGGGGAGCAGAGGGCTGCAGTGGCAGCAGGCGAGCAGAGGGAAGGTGAGTTGGGCAGGAGCGGTGTTTGCAGCCCTCCAAACTCCAGCCTCAATCTCTGTGCCCAAGTCCTATGGCCTTTCTTCATCCAGTCCCTCATGCCCACAGGATTTCCAGCCTCACCGCATCCCTTGCCTCACCTCTGCCTGGCCATGGTCCTGCCCCATGGGAGGCACCCAGGAGGGAAAAGCCTGGTGGGCTCTAAAACTGCCCTCGCTTGGGTGAGCTCAGCCCAGAATTGCTCCTGATGACTCACCATTCACTGACCCCAGGAGGACAACAGAAGGGACCACATGCCCAGGTTCTCCCCAGACAGCTACACCAAGATCTGGGATGAGTTTCTGTTTATTTGGCAAAAAGGAGGGACTGTGCACTGGAGGAGCAGGGGACATGTCAGAGCCTTGCCTAGTGATCTGAGAAAAGGGATGGTGGAGCAGCAGCCTGGAGCTTCAGCGCGTGGATCTTGTATCACCCGTCAGGAGCATCTACCAGCCAGCCCACAAGTCCTAGAAAACATCCAGGAGAGGTGGGCTGAGTATTTAAGGTGAGGAGACCAATGGAGAGGGCCAAGCAGGGCTCTCCATTAGGATCAGTGCATTCTCTTCCAGTTTTCCCCAGCTCTGTAGGGTGAACCATCTCCAGAAATTAATTTCTAGATAACCCCTACAACTGAATGTGTAGTGGGAAATCACAAGGCAGAGTGGGTCAACAACAAACATGTTTTGCGTGGTGAGACACCAACCCAGCCTCTGACCTGTTTTGCTGGTCCACAACCCCAGGGTCCCTTTTGGCAAGAGCTGGTGTCCCAGTCCTCACTGCTGGATGAGCTTTGCAGCTGTTTCTCCACTGAACCGGTGGTTTCAGTTCAAGTGCCCTTGCTCACTGTCAGTCAGCTGTACCCTGGGGGTCCCCACTGCAGAGCAGCTCCAAAGGGGACAGTCCTACCTGAGTGCAAGCTCCAACACGTGTTCAAACAACTTAGCCCCCCCCGAGTAATTTGAAGATTTCATGGTGGGCCTTGCTGGGACACTAAGAAGGGCAATTTCCAGCTGAGGACATTGCAAACACCGTGTTGCACTGTAGCAACTCACCTACACTTCATCGAGGCTGCATTCATCTGTGAAAATAAAGAGAAAGGCTGAGTCCCAGGGCTGTGGTCTGGCTAGTCCCATTTAGCACCCAAAATAGACAACCCAGAAATGAACTTAATCAAGGTGAAAGCCACAACGTGCCAAGCCAGACCGCCTCTTGCTTCCAGCACTTTCTTCTTCCAGCTCAGACCACAAAGTAGTGTCAGTGATGGGCTGAGCTGGTCCCTGCTGACGTGTTCTGCCTCCCCGTATCAACTAAGCCAGACCAACATGGTGCTGGGCAGTGCTCACCCTGTCTGGGCAGCATCCTGATCATCTCGTTGGTGAAGCTCTTCTCCCTCGCAAGCTTCTTGAACAGTGCTGTGATTCTGGGGCTCACCTGCCAGGTTCTGCCTAAAGGCAAAGATGTGAGTCAGCTCCAGGCTGTGGCCTGTCCCTGCATCTCCTGGGCAGCTGGTGAGTGCACCCAGGCAAGGACAGGATGGATGACGGTCCTTGGGAGAAGGTTGGAGGCACTGCTTGAGGTCCTGGAGAGCAGTGCTGGCCAGGCACATGAGAAACCCCTCCCAGGGGACAAGACGAAGCAGAGTTCCTGGCAGCAGCACAGTGTCCTCTCTTGGGTCCCATCCCCATCATTTCTACTCCCCTAGCAGCAGGACCCTGCTCTTTGCCCCATTTCACCAAGTGACTTACCCAAGGCCACGGTCTCCCAGCACAGTGCAGAAGCCTGAGCCCCAGCCTCTCCCACCAGCCCCAAATCATTGCCCCTTCCCCTGCCACGCAGGGAACACACAGTGGCCCCAGCCCCTCTCCTTCACCCCACTCAGTGCAGGAGGGCAGCAGTGAGGAGGGTGGGGGTCTCTCCTGCAGTCTCCCTGACTCCTGGCCTCTCAGGACACTACAAAGCACCCCGACACCTCCCAGCTGGTCACCCCAGGCAGACCGCCAGTGGCTACGCACTGTAGAGCCTCAGCATGCGCAAGGTCTTCCCATCCTTCACTCTGGAGACAAAGATAACTGCGTATGTCTTTCCATCGGTATCCACCACCCGTGCTGTTCTATTGCCTCTGTCTGCAAAAGGACAGAAAGGAAAAATGAATTACCTCCTCCTGAGAACTGCCACACTGCAAAAGGGCTGTAAGAGTGTGACTCAGGATGCCAGGGGCCAGGCCCACCCAGTTCATCTGTCTTAGTCTCTCTGTCCTGCTTTTTCTTCTTGCTAGGGCTCCTCTGAAAGCCTGGGGGAGCCCCTAGCTCACAGCAGAGCAGAGGGACGGAGGGACTGGAACGTGAACACAGGAGGGACTGGGAATGGACGCCGCTGACAGTGGAGTAGCCCGACGAGTGTCAGACTAACACTTGGGCTGGGGATGGTGGGAAATCACTCTTGCATCATCCCTTGGGAACATCCATCCACAGTCCCTTTGCAGAATGAACCTGCTTTTTCCACAGGGTTTAAGTTCTGTCCGAACGTGTCTTATCCCAGACCAGCTTCCCAGAGGGATGGAGCAGGGGGGTTCACCACACTGGTGGGACACCAGCCCTGGTACGGACCAGCCCTGGGGTGCAGCTGTCAACTGGCCACAGAAGGATGTCCCACTCAGGACCTCAGGAGGGGCAGGCAGGCACCCCTGAGGGCCATCTCCAGGGACAACCAGCCATTTCAGACAGGGATGATGGGAAATGCCTCCACTCCATCCCCGGGGCTGGGCTCCCCCCACTCACCAGAGCTGTAGTATTCACCCGGGATGCCTGTTTGCTTGTAGATGGACTCCAATTTCTTACATCCTTCAGGGCTGTAAAATAGTGAAGGGTGCTCTGGCTGGGGTGAAGTGACCCCCTTTCCTCTCTCCTGGGGATTCTGGCTCTGGAGTTGCTACCCGAGATGTGGGACTTGCTGTTCAGGGTTGGGATGGTGTGTCTCATCAAGGGGACAGATGCCATCCTTGGAGAAATGGGTGCCTAGGCTGGCAGGGCACAACACTGGCACCCAAGGATCATCCCATGGGGTCACACAGACGTTCCCTTGCTCACGCTCTGGGCTTTTGGGATGATGCTGGTCCTGCTGGGAAAGCTTTAATCACAGGGTCCCTTATCACCCTGCTGCGTCCCTGCTGGGAGCAGAAGAGTGTCTCAGCCCCTGTGATGGGACCGTTCCTGGCTGGTACTGCTGTGAGCCTGACTGGCCTGCCCTGAAGAAGGGGCCCCACGATACAGCTCTCCTGAGCCCCTGTTTTAAACCACGGGCTGGTGGTCCTGCCTCACACCCCTCCCAGGTCTCTGGTGGGTGCTGGGTGGAGGCACCCAGGTGGAGGTCCATTGGTGAAGGTCTAGGGAGGTCAGTCAGTGAAGCCCATGGAGAAAAGCACTTGTCACTTACGTGGGAATTGCAAAGGAGACCTTCAAGTCGCTCTCTCCCAGGACTGTGATGGTGGCCATTGCCATCTTCAGCTCGTCCTTCTTCTGGAGATAGCTCTTGGAGTCAGAGGCCAGAGCAATGATGTACCATTTCCCTGCAATCTGGCAGTGAGGGTGGGCTGTGAGTCCAGAGGAGCAGGCAGGGGCTGTCCCCTCCTTGGGGACAGAGCCAGGACACCCTCAGGCCATGGGACACCCACTTCTCCTCCAGGCACTGAAATCCCTGCTGGGGCACTTATGCTAGAGCTGAGTGACTGCCCCTCCTTGGGTGTGACAGCGGAGCCAGCGGTGACTGTGGTGTCACCAGCTGTCCCCAATGCCAAAACACCTCTCCGGTCCCCACCCTGGCAACTGGAGGCCATGCTCCCACCTTCCCTTCCCTGGATGCTGCAGATCACCTTGCTCTTGTCCAGCGCCACAGCCCCAAGGTCCTCAGCCTCCACGTGCAGCAAGCAGAGCAGGGCCAGTCCCAGGATCAGCCCCATGGTCCTCATCTTGCTGCAGCCTCCTCTGGCTTCACCAGCAGGATGGAGAGCAGTACCAGGGCTGCTAGTTTTATAGTGTCATGCTCTCCCCGCCTCTGCCTACCCAAGTGCTACTGTGTGCCGAGCTGCACGGACAACGCTGCTGGTGTTGGCTTGGTCAAGGTGGTGGTTTTGAAGGGCTGAAGTCACCCCAGGGTAAACAGCCTGGTGTATTGCAAAAGAAGGGAAATGCCTGCAAGCCCCGGAGGGGGCTGAGAAGCGGGGTTGCAGGAGCTGTTGCACCAGTGCTGAAATTTGGGATTTTCCCCGTTTCTTTTAGTTGCTTGTGAAAGAACAAAGAGAGCTTTTGTTTCCCAGCTGGCTGCCAGAGGGCTGCCGGGAGGAGTGGGGAGGTGCTTCCTGGCATGGGCCATGGCAGCACCGTCACGCAGTGACCCATGTCGAAGGGGCTCGGTGACCCATCCCTCTGGCCAACAACTTGTGCCCAAACCCAGGAGCCGCGCGCTGCCAGCATGGCCTGGCCCCACGGCACCCGTGTAGGCTCATGCATCTGCTCTGGGGCACTCAGGGCCCGCAAAGCAGGCTGCACCCGGAGCGGGGTAGGCAGAAGGGGTTCGTGTCACTGTGGGAGTGTGTCCCCTCCTTCCCAGGGTGTGATGTCCCCTGTGCCCTGGCTCTGGCATTCTCCTGGGGTCACAGCCCCGAAAGGGTCCGTGCTGCTTCCTCTCAGCCCTGCACCTGGCTGGGCACCGAGGGACCCTCGCTCTGGGGCAGGGGGGCAGTGGGGGAAACCAGGGGCTGCCTCCGCTCTGCAGGAGGTGGAGGGGGATGGATGCTGCCCTCGGGGGTCATAGCAGCATGGTCCTCCCTTGGTCAGTGGGCAGATGAGGGGATCAAGGGGGATGGGAGACAGGCGTGGGGGTCCCTGTCCTGCCGCGCCATTTACCCTGGGCAGCCATGGTGCAGCCCCGCTCCCTCCTGGGTGGCCCCTGGGGGGAACTGAGCAGGGAATGGGATGTCCTGGGGACAAGTTTCCTGCCAGAAGTCAGAGCCCATGCAGGCAGGGCTGGGCAGCCTGACCACTTAACCCTGCCTGCCCAGATCCACCGCCCTCCCAGACAAGCTGTACGAACCCCTCTTCATCTCAGCTCGATTTCCCCCTGCCCTCATCCCAGTAAGCTGTCCTACTGCACCTTCCCCATCCTCACCATGCTGGGCACAGCAAACAACACCCCTGGGGTGCGGAGAGGAAAGGTTGGACCGAGGGCTACTGGGCTCAGGGTGCCTGGGGATCTTGGCGGCACCCTTGCTCCCACCAACAAAAGCACCAACTTCTGGGGCAGCTTCTTCACCTATTTATTTAGGAGGACAAGGCATGATGCTGGTGTGGGGCAGTAGGTCTGGCAGAGCCCAGCTGGGGAGAATGGGAAAGGGCACCACAGAGAGGGGAGCAGAAGCTGGTTTCCACCAGGTCTGGAGGACACACAGCCCTGGCGTCGGCCCCTTCAGCTGCAGTGAGGAAGGACAGACGAACAAGTAGTTAGAGCAGGGGAAAGCCAGTGTGGCACAGAGCACTGAGGCAGGTGGGGGGCTCCCTGGGGGGGCTGCAAGTACCTGCTCAGCCCAGGCCATGCCGGGAGGGAGAACCAGCTTCCCCCAGCCATGCTCACCTGACAGCCTTGGTGCACTGATCTGTTGAAAAGCAAAGAGATGGGTGAGCAGTGGCCCGAGCCCGTGTGCAGCATCCCCACACAGAGGGGCCGTGCATGCCACCCTGTGCCCTCCTGGCACTCACCCGACTTGGGCAGGACGACCAGCATGTCCTTGGTCAGGCCCACAGTGGGGATAAGCTCTTCAAACTTCTGTAGGAGCTGAGGGTTCACGTCCTGCTCCCGTGCTGCAACCAGACACCCGAAATGAGGGCTGGTAAGTGTGGCAGGAACGTGGAGCAGTGATGGGGACCCCAGGGAAGGGCAAAGGTGAAGCCATGGGCATGCAGGGGGGACACTGGGTACCCCATGGCTGTCCTGAGCAGGCAGCAAAAGGGCACAAGCCCTTTGGGATGAGTGACCCACCTGCCTGGGGTGTATGGGGCAGCTGGCAGGGCTGGGGGTATGCAGCTGAACTGGCACACTGCAGCAGGGCTTCAGTTCAAACGACAACCAGCTGGGGATATTTTTGATGCAAGGCTTCATTCACCCCAACATTCATTCCCTGGGTGCCAGCATATTGGGTGCTGACGGTGGTGGCCCTGGGCGGCGGTGGGGAGCCCAGCTCCCCTCCCCCCCCCTCCCAGTGCCCCTATCCCTTCCCCAGGGAGCCGTGGGCACCCGTCCCCACTCCCAGCACCCACTGAGGAGCTGCAGCGCAGTGCTGGGATCCTGCTCTCTCTGCTGAAGCTCATGCACGATGGCGTAGGAGCTGTAGTCCGTCTCCATCACACGCAGGTCCCTCTTCTCTTGTGCTGCTAAAGAATACCAGACAGTGCCCAGCTGGCACAGCCCGAGCACCTCCATGGTCCCTGCTGGGGCTCACGGTTCAGGGTCTGAGCCTCAAATTTGCCTGAGGGGGTATGAGAAGGGAACCCCTGTGCAATCTGGCAGAGCTGGGTGCCCACCTGCAGCACGACCTCTCACCGAGCAATGGATGCAGGGGGGCCAAACCCACCTCATGCTGCTCCGTGGGTGCAGGGGACTGGTGATGCCCACCCTCCATTTCAGAGTGTCCATGGCTCCAATCCCCCCCCTGCCCACACATACCCAAATAGTGCCCTGCCTCCTCGCTTCGCTGGAAGAGTAGCTCAAGCTTTTGGCATCTGTCCAGCCTGGAAAGGGAAAATGGAAACAGCAAACGTGGCTGGCTGCCCTATGGGAGGGCAGTAGGGTGGTGGGCACAGGGGGAGCCCAGCCTGCTCGTGGGATGTGCCAGGGTGCAGGTGGGACCGGGCACCACAGGGCAACAGGTCTGTGCGAGGATGTTCCTCATCCAGCCACCTCAGTGGGGAGGGGAGTCCCCTGGCCCAAGCAGAGGGGACACTTACAGGGGCCAGACAAGCTTCATAGCCAGGTCCCCCTCTGGCGTAAAGCTGATAGTGGTGGTAGATGACTTCATCACATCCTTCATCTTCAGGAACACGGAGCAGTTGGAAACAGCAGCTGCAATGTGCCATGTCCCTGCAAACTGCATCAGGACAGCACCAGTGGGGTTTGGGAAAACCATGGGGACTTGCCACCCTCTGTGGGGACTTGCTAGCCGATGGTGGGGGACCTGCCACCCACCATGTGAGACCTGCCTGCCCATTGTAGGAACCTGCCAGCCTGCAGTGGGGGAACCTGCCACCCTCCGTGGGGACCAGCCAGTCTAACATGGGGACCTGCCACCCACCCGCCTGCACGCAGAACGCTCTGCCCTGCCCCATGCCAGCAGGACGGTGCAGTGTCTGGCCCTTGTTCCCTGGGGAAGAGCCACATGCTCGGGGGCATCATGGCCCTGGATGTTCATGTCCCTGCAGCCACTGGGTCTGGCCACAGAGAGCAAGAGCAGGCCAGGACTAGCCCAATTTTGCACAGGCATCTACATTTTTTCTGGAAGCTGCCCTGGTGTCAGCTCAGGGCCAGGACTGGGGGGTGCCTGAGGATGCAGCACGGGCACCCTGCCCCAGCCAGCCCCTCCAGCCCAGGCAGGACCGGCTGGGTGGGCACCCTGTGCCATTACCTTCTCGGCGTTGAAACCCGGCTGCACAGGGACCTCGGCCATTGCCCGCAGCAGGCAGAGCAGGGCCAGGGCTAGGCTGGGCAGCACTGCTATCATCCTTGCTCCGGGGGCTGGATGCAGGCAGGAGAGGCTGTATGGACCTGCCTCTTCCCACACCCACCTTTATAGCTCCCGGCACTGGCAGCATCCCTCACCCGCCCCCACTTTATGCAACAGGTTACACAAGAGCAGGGATAACTTGTACCCATATTAGGTGACAGAGTTGGCTCCTTCCCCCTCTAATTTCCCAGTCCTGGATGAATGCAGCCTTGTGTGAGACCCAGCCCAGAGCATGTCAGGGACCAGACAGTGCCACATGCCCAGTGCTGCGCCTGAGGAGGGGGGTGAGGGTGGCCCCAGTGTCCCACTCCTGGCTGTGGCCCGCTGCCCCCAGGGTCTGGCAGTTCTGAGATGGATTCTGCCTCAAGAAGGAGGATGGTTGGGCCGGTGTTTTAAGCCCGGGGTTGAGACACAGCCTGATGCCCCCCAGAAGGAGCTGAGACTTCCCAGGCTGCGGCAGTGGGCACAGACCCCACTCCCAGGGAGGGTCCAGGCTGACAGCACGGAGAGCAGGCAGGCGGCTGGGGCTGAGCCACATCCAGCACTCACAGATGTCATTCTGGTTCATGTCTATCCTGCCCCCACATTTTTGGAGAGAACCACCCTGGAATTGCCCATCACTCCATTCCCATGCTGCCAGCCTGCTATCTGTCAGGGAAACAGGCAGCAAGGCTGAGGTAGTCCAGGGCGCCTGAGGAAGCATATGGGAGTGGGTACCCCAAGCAGGTCCCAGCCCTGGGCACCCCTTCTCCCTGGACTGGACAGGTTTGCTGGCCAGGCAGCACTGTGGCCTGGGGTTACAAGTGCACACAGGATCCCACCCTGGCAGCCCCATGGCCAGGAGCTGAGAGCAGCCGTGACCCCCGTGTCAGCCCCAGCCCAACCCACCACCACCAGCCACGCTTCCCCCTCCCCACTGGGGCTCCCCTGCAACGCCCCAGCAGACAAGGGTGAGGGACTGGTTTTATATGGGCTTTAATAGGGACAGGGGTACAGGTGTGGGGCGTCAAGCCAGGGAGCGAAGGCTGCTGTGGTGCTGGGGGTGCGCTGGGGAGAGGATGGGATGGGGCAGCTGCCAGCTCCTGGCGCTCTCGGGGCTCTGGCCAGCAGCAGCTGGTGGGTCTGCCTGGAAGAGACAGGGGGGTGAGTGGAGCTGAACTGGAGGAGGTGGAGGGGGGGACATGGCAGGGAACAGCAGCCCTGCCAGCCCTGTGCTGAGAGGGTGGGCACCCACCACCCACAGCTTGGGGCCACAAAAGAGCCACCCCATGGGGATGGGCTGGGGGACCCCCCCCTAGGGATAAGGGGGACCCCAGAAAGAGGAGCAGCCTGGGTGGGCTGGGAAGGGGGACGGGGGCTTTGCAGGCTGGAGTGGCTCTAAGCAACCCCCCATTGCCCTCCCACAGGGTTGGTCCGAGCCCCAGTGAAGGCAGGACTCACCTAGGCAGCATCTGCCATGCATTTGTCTGCAGAAGGAAGAAAAGTAGAGATCAGCTCCTGCAGGGGCTGGGGACCGCTGCCCCCCCGGGGGCCCTGCATGGGGCTCTGCCCAGCAGTACCCCACGGCTGGCCCCAGTGCCGGCCCCACAGGGAGGCAGAGAGAAGACAGGAGGGTCTCCTCCCTAACTCAGCCCCTCCTGGGGTACCTCACACCCTGCTCCCCGCCAGCCCCCTGCCCCTCCAACTTCTCACCCGTCTGGGGCAGGATGAGGATCTCTTCATCCATCAGGCCCTGCTCCCTGGAGAACTGAGTGAACCTCTCCAGGCGCTCAGGACTGAGCTCCTTCGTCCGGCCTGTAGAAGAGAGCAGGGTGAGAGACAGCCCCCCCCCCCCACCTCAGCAAGGGGTCGTGCTGCCCTGGGGTGCAGGAAGCCCAGCAAGGGACAAGTTCCCCAGAAAGCAAGTCCTGACGCAGACATCGCACGGATCACCCCAGCTTGGGAGATGATGCTGCCCTTCTCCTGTGGGAGAGATCCCCCCGCTGAGGACATCCTAGGGGATCCCAGGGTGGCGGTGGGGTGGACGGCAATGGGGCCCCAGGGCAGACATACTGTAGAGCAGCACCATGGTGGAGGAGCCAGTGCTCTTGGAGATCTGGGTGGCCACCAAGGCGTACTCGTTGTAGTTGGTCTCCACCACGCGGATGTCGTGCTTGCTGCCCCAGCCTGCGGGGACAGGGAGGGCATGGCTCAGCCCCAGGCACCAAACCAGACACCGATGTGCTCTGGTGAGGGCACAGGGGCAGGGGCTGGCAACAGCGGGAGTGGGCTGGGAGCTGGAAGCACATCAGGGGCTCCCTGCAGGAGAAGGGGCTGGGAGCCAGGCACTCACGTGGGTTGCTGTAGCTGAATCGCCCCGGCTGCTCCGTCTTAGTGTAAAGGCTGTTCCTCTTCTCACACTGGTCGCCCCTGGGGAGCACAGCACGAGGATGTCAGAGGGGCCAGGAGGGGATGCTCCAGTCCACACATAGCTGCAGACATGGCACCATGGGGGAGCACCCCCTGCTCACCCACCCCTTCCTCATGCCCATACTTGGGGTAGGTGGAGGTGACTTCCAGGTTCCCATCTGTGGTGACGGAGATGACCGTGACGCACATCTTCATCAGGTGCTTCTTCTCCTTGAACCAGTTGGAGTTGGAGGCCAGGCCGATACTGTACCATCTCCCCGTGAGCTGCACACAACCTCTGCTCAGCCGCCAGCCCAGTGCAGACCCCGTCTCAGCCCTCTGCCACCCACCAGCCCCAGCCCAGGCCACCTCCCCCTCCCCTGCCAGCCTGCACCCCACAGCAGGATGGCATCTTGGCATCCTCATCCCCCACAGAGCTTCTACAGATCTCAGAGTCCACAAACCCCGCCGAGATATGGTTTACGACATGCCCTTCACTGTCCAGCACTTGGGGTGTTTCCTTCCTCTTTGCCCCAAGCCCGGGGAGGAGGTAACAGGACTGAGATGCCATTTTCACCCGTCTGGGGGCATGAGGAGGGGTCAGGACCCCAGGACCAGCATGACTCATCCCAGCCTAGTCCCTGGGGCTAGCAGCTTGGTGCACCAAGAAGGGAGCTGTCAGCCTTGGAGACGGGCTGTGCTGGGACCACCCTTGCAGGACATGCCAGACCCTCATTCTTGCAGGACACACCTCCCTGGGGTTGCTGTGTCCCCCAGGACCCTTCTGGGGGCTCCCTGGAGAAGCAGGCAGCACGGCCTCTGCCCTGGCTCAGTGGGACTCCAAGGCTGTGGGGCCAGGCCCCACGACGTGCAGCTGGGCTGGGGCTGTCCTGCTCTGGGTCCTGCACATCTTGAGGGTGGAAAGGGAGCACAAGCACCCCGAGCTTGCCCAGCACCCAGGGGCTGGGAGGGCAGAGGAGTGTGTGGGACACCCTAGCACAGCAGCCCTTGTTTTTATGGGAGCCTGGGTGGCGGGGGGAGGGTAGGACCTGTTTTCGGGAGGGGGGTTCATGGCCCATCTCCATGCTGACTGTCAAACTGAGATGGCATTTCTCGGTCCCTCCTACAAAATCCCTGTGTATCTACACCCACCCCATGGCACAGGAGATGGCTTGGCCCCACATCTACTCAGTCCTGCCCCACAGGCTAGAGCCTGGATCCTGTGTCCCCTCTGGATCCACCAAACTGAGGCCCCGGGGGCTCCCCAGGGATGGGTGTATGAGGGTGTACCAGTCACCCTGCCCCCCCCCCCCTCCCCAGTATCAGGGCCAGCCTAGCCCCAGATCCACCTCCAACACCCTCACCACACATTTTCAGGGTGAAGATCCCCCAAAACACCCCGAACCCCCCCACAGGTGATGCCGGCCGGGTTGGGTCACCTTGTCCTGCTGGAAGTCGGTTTGCACAGGAACGCTGTCCTGGGCGTGCAGTGCCCCGAGCAGGGCCAGCCCCAGGACACCGAGCAGCGTGCCGCGCATCTTTTGCCCCGAGCCGAGCCGAGCCGAGCCGAGCCGAGCCGAGCCGAGCCGAGCCGAGCCGAGCCGAGCCGAGCCGAGCCGCAGGCAGAGTGCTGCAGTGCCGGAGAGTCAGGCAATCCCCTATTTATGGGCTGGCTGTGCGGTGGCCCCAGGGGGGCCAGCCCTGCCTCCCCCCCCCCCACGCCGTTATGCAAGCAAGAGCAGGGGCGAAAGCCGAAGCCAAAGGGCAGGCAGGGGAACCTGCAAATGTTTCCCTCCTGTTGATATGACATGTTTGCTTCGGGGTGCCAAACTGATCCGCGGCTGAAACACAGCTCGCAGCCAGCACAACGGCTGTCCCTGCCCCCAGGGCCGGGGGCCGGTGTGGGCTCCTGGGGCTGCCCACAGGCACGGGGGGGTGGGGTGGGGGGGGCTGGGACTGGGGGCCGAGGCTTGCTAGCTGCCCTGTCCCTGCAGGATGGCCTCACTCAGACTCAGAGAGGGGCCCAAGCAAGGTGGAGGGAATGACAAGCGCCTGCCAGGTCCTGATCCAACCCGTGGGACTCGTGGGCACCTTTGGGTGCTCCTGCAGGACCCCTAGCCTCGCCCCGAGTCCCAGCATCACCCAAGGAAGCATCTCAACCGGCTCAGCCACATATCAGGGTGCATCCCACCAAGGTGCAGTTCCGATACACCCCAATAGTGAGCTGGGGGGGCTGGGAGTGTTGGGGGGAGCCAGACCCCAGCCTTGGGCAGCCCTGATTCCCAGCTCCCTGGGGACCACCACACAGCCAGACACAGCCCCACAGGCCACCCTGCACCTTTTGCCAAGAGGGGCTGGCAGACGTCCTCCCCCCTTAATCTGAGGACACCTTGAGCACCCAAAGGGTGAGGGCTGGGGATGAACGCTGGATGTGAGCAGTGGCACCCATGGGTCTGACGCGGTTTCGGCAGGGCTGGCCCAGCAGCCCAGCTTTATGTAAGGAGTGTGTTTTCACAACAGCTGTTTTTTTCCTCTGGCAGCCCACCCTGCCGTCCAGCCCAGCACATTCCCTTCCCCGCACCCAGCTGCGAGCCCGGCTTGGCCCTGCACACCATGTGCCGGGGGCCAGGCCGGCCCCAGCTCCGAGGATTTATTAAAACAAAACAAAAGCTGAGCTGCGCAGGACTGAGCATCACGAGAGCCCAGCTGGGGGCCCCCTGCATGCTGGGCTGGGGGCTCAGCCTCTGTCTGAGCCCACCTTTGGGGTGCAGGGTGGCAGGAGGAGCTCTCTCCATCAGGCATTGGATGCACTCATGGGTGTCCCTGTGGTTCTACGCTGGGGCAGGGACACAAAGCCACCCAGTTCCCTGGGCATCTCTGGCTCCCTGCCCTGTCCAGAAGCAGAAGGGTGTGTCCAGGAGGTGCCCACTCTCCCGGCTCTCCTGGGGGTGGCAAAGCAGGGGGCCAGCCCAAGGAGCTGGGTGGCAAAGCTGAGTGCAAGCTGGGGAGTGTGGGGGCACCCGGGAGCACGTGGGGGCCCCAGCAGCAGCGTGGGGCAGGCTGAGCCCACTGCTGGGGCTGGGGGACACAGGCAGGACAGAGGTACCTGGGCTGTGGCTCACCACGGCGCCTGGACACAGACCCTCAGGTACAACCTGGGCATTTGCACCCCAGGAATGGGTTCATGGCAGATAAATGTGGGCTGGGCTGAGCTGGGGTGCAGGGCGCAGGGGTGTCCTTGGGGACCAGCCCAGCTCCCCAGGGCGGCAGGGCAGGGCTCTACCCTCGCCTCCCATCACCCTGCCAAGCCTCCACCACAGCGCAGCCCCTTCTGGGGAACGGGTGGGTACAGGGCAGAAAGTGAGCTGGATCCATAACACCTCGACTCTGCCAGGCTCAACCGGGCAGCCTGGGGGTCTGTGAGCGCGGCCAGACACAACTGCCCTGCAAGCGGGCAGTGGGGACAGGGGCTGGCTTCGGGCAAGTCACGTGGTGGTCCCTTACATAAGCCCGTGATAAACAACATGTGTTACCCGTTTCCAGTAAGATTGCAAAATGCCGGCACTGAGGGCAGAGGGCTGCTCCGTGCCCCAGGGGCTTTGAGGTGGCCGGGGCACCGCACCAGCCTGCTGCTGGGGGCTGCTCTCCATCCCCTCCCACCACCCAGCCTGCACCAGGGAACTGGCACCACTTGCCCAAAACATGCCAGCCCCAGCCCGAGTGCGCGGCAGGACAGCCTCGGCCAGGCTGGACGCGCAGGGAAGAGGGGTCCTGCAAGGAGCTGCAGTGTTAACGCTGGGGCTGCAGCCCCTCTACCCTGGTTGCACCCCTGGCCCAAGCCTCCACAGCCCCCCGCAGCATGCACAGAGCATGCAAGGGGTGTCCCCTGCCTAGCTCTTCAGCAGGGCTCCGGCCCAGGCAGCAGCCCCTTGGGGAATGCGGTCGGCAGGGCTGGGACAGGGGAACCAGATGTTTCACTGCCTCGGAGGCCCTGGGGACCTGCAGAACCACTGCGGGGCTGGGGATTCTTCCTCTGGGGTCCCTCAGGGATGTTCTGGCTTGTCCAGGGGGGAAGGGCTGATCCTGCACTGGTCCCCAGCGCCCTCAGGCCCCAGGAATGGTGCTTTTCCCCACACTGTGCTGGGCACTCAGAGCTTCCTCCCACTCACCAGGCAGACTCACGTGCGCTACCGCACCCAAGAGTAAATCGGGAACTGCCACAACCCCATGGTTGGGATGATGCTCAGGGAGAGGGTGATGGAGCTGTGCAGAGGGAGCTGCACGGCCCCCCTGCATCCCCAGGCCGGGAGCACAGTGCTGGGGCACCAGCAGACCAGGGGTGGAGACAGCACTGGCCTTGCTGGGCCAGATCAAGGGATGACTTGCCTGGACACAGACCCTTCTCCGAGGCATTTATTAGGGTGTTGCTGGCTGCTGCAAGGCACCAGGGAGCAGAGCAGAGGGGTGACACATAGCTGTGGGGGGACAGGACAAGGAGAGGCACAGCTGCCGGTGCAGCTGGAGGAGCCGGGGTGCCCAGGGACTGGTTCCAGGGCTCTGGAGCAGCAGTGGGGTCTGGCCAAATCCTGACTCAGTCCTGTGTGGCCATGGGTGGATGGATGAGGTAAGGACTGAGCTCTGAGGACCATTCTGGCAACATCATCTGCACCTACAGCTTTGTTTCTGGAAGGGAAAGAGAAGTGCTGAAGGGCTGGGGGGATGTCCAAGCCCAGTGCCAGGGCTGGAGACCCACCTCTGCTTCCCCAAGCACCAACAAGAAGTGATAAAGCTGTTCCCAGGGGCCCGAGCCCTCATCCTGGGGTGTCCCTGCCCCAGGACATGCTGTCCCAAACCAGCCCTCACCTCAGGAAACACCAATATAGACCAGCCTGACCTATGTGGGGTGTTAATGGGGCTTTGCTTTGCTGGGATGCATCTGATGCCTATCCAGGGTGATGGCCTGCCACCTCCACACCCCACACAAGGGCACGGAGGGACCCTGCCCTGAGGGATGGTCTGGCATAGACTCCCTGTCCCAAACCAGCTCCTCTGCACTCCTGGGGCAGGGCCACATGGCTGTGGGGTGGTGTGGGTCCAGCCTGGTGTGCCCAGCCTGCAGCCAGGGCAAGGAGAGCCACTGTGGTGCCTGACCTGGCCCAGAACACGGTGGGGACCCGGCACATTGCCCAGGATCTGCAACTCACCGTCAAGGACGTGAAACTCATCCACGGAGTCACAAAACCCTGCGGAAGAGAGAGCCTGAGCACCCAGGACCCCCTGACTATGCACCCCAGGGACGCAGCAGGACATAGCCCTGTCCTTGCATCTTTGTCCCTGGTGTGGCCACAGCATGGGGACAGACCCCAGGCATTGCCCTTCTGCAGGTGACATGGGGCCACAAACTGCTCAAACCTGTGTGGATGTGCCTCCCCCCCCACACACACTGGAGGGTCCCAGCTCTTGCTGCCAGGCCCCTCCTGGGTGCAGCCCTCGCTGCGGGTGCCCCCTGCTCTCAGGGGACTGTGTGCCACCCACCGTATGTGGGGAAGTAGTAGGTCACATCTTCGCTCAGACCAACAGCCCTGACACGCTGCTCAAACTTGTCCACAATGTCATCGCTGACCTGGCTGGTCCGTCCTGCATGCGGAAGGAGAGGCCTCAAGCCCTGCCTGTCCTTGCCCCAGAGCCCCCCACACCCCCCGCAGCCAGGCACAGGGCCAAGGGATCTTTCAGCTCACAGAAGCCAATTCCCAGCTCCCCCCACAGAGCATCTGGGGACAAAACTCCATTTGGGGACTGGGCCCCATGGAGAGACCCCACCTCTGTGCCTGGGTCCTCTGGCGCTCTGGCCGGCGTCCCCAGAGCCCAGCACAGGTTTCCCACCCCTCTGCTGCCCTCATTATTCATTTGCCACAAGCCTCTGGGTGCTGACCCACCATAGAGCTTGACAGAGATGTTGCGTCCCTTCTGGTAATAGAGGATGGTGTAGCTGCTGTAGTCTGTCTCGCCCACCACCATGTCCACCTTGCTGCCATAGCCATGGCCTGGGAAAGACAGTTGTGGCAGAGGGTAGCTCCAGTTAGTTCTGGTTAAGCCCAGTTAAGCCCCTAGACCTCATTTTGCCAGGAGTGGGGTATACAAGGGGTGAAAATCAGGGCCAGAGTGGATGCAGCCCCACGGGGTACCGTTCCCCACCAGCAGGCACCAGCCTGTGTCGCTGCCTCTGATGGTGTCCAGTACTGGGGCACTTTGAGACCCCAAAGGTGAGATACCAAGAGGGCACTGGGAGGGAAGACACTGGTACCAAGGCCCTGATGAGAGCAGGAGTAGAAGGCTCCAGCTCCGTGGTCCCTGCAGCCCTCGCCCCAGCCCGGCCTCCCTCACCCTTCAGGAGGAAGCGTCCGTGGGCCTGGGCAGGGAGGTAGCGCTGTCTGATTTCCCAGCACGTCCCATCCCTGTATGAGGAGAGGAGGAGGTTGGTGGTGCAGGCTCGGGAGGATCCAGCCCAGGTCCCTTCTCACCCTCCTTGCCAAAGCACACGTGGGACCTGTTTTCATGGGACTTTGTTTTCTCCCTCAGTAGATGCTGCAAAGGGATGTCCCAGAGCCCAGTGGAGACACCGCAAGAGATGCAGAACCTGAAAGCCTGCTGATCCCATGGGGTCCTCGCCCCTCCCTGCAGCCCTGAGCCTGGCTCAGCCCCTCAGACCCCCTCAGGCTGGGGGAAAGCACCCACAGATGCACTGAAGATCCCCCTCCTCAGCCATGCTGTCACTGGGGTGGCCCCAAGAGCTGGTCCCTGGCTGGGTGGCCATGAAGTGACCACATGCCTGCTTAGTGCCTCAGTTTCCCCTGCCTGGCTGCACCCTGCCCTGCCCAGCCTGGGCAGCCCGAGCCCACCTTGAGCTGGTGGCTGTGTGGATGGCAGGGTGCCACGAAACCACCACAAAACATACCAGAGGAGATCCCACCCACGCTTTGCTCCGGGGCAGCTCTCTCCTCCTTGGAGCTCCTGGCTGGGACACTGGTCCTGCTCTGGCCTGCAGCGTCCCTGTCTCACCCAGCGTTCCCCATCTTCATCCCGGAGCACTGGTCCTGCTCTGACCTGCCTGTAGCATCCCCACAACACCCAGTGTCCCCTGTCCCCATTCCAGGGCACCAGCCCTGCTCCAGCCTGGCTGGAGCGTCCCTGTCCCTGCTTGCAGCCTGTGGCTGGCATCACTCACAGCTTCCTGAAGGTGCTGATGGCCAGGCTCTGCCCATCCAGGACGGTCACCGTCATCGCCGTGGCCTCCAGCCGGTGGCTGTGCTCTACCAGGTAGCCGCAGCGGGAGGCCATGCCGACCAGGAACCACCTCCCTGTGAGCTGCAGGGCACGGGGGTGACACCGTCTGCCAGGTCACCTCCCCGGGGTGCCACCACTGCTGCCCAGAGCACCCACCACACCAAGCACCTTTCTTCTGTGCAGTCTTCACTCGCTTGGCACCTCTGCCCACAGCCTGGCCCCTTGGCATGTCCACAGGGCACCGCTGCCCTCGTTTGGGAGCCAGCGGGTGGGACAGAGCAGCCCAGATAGGAGCCTGGCGTGGGGACAGGCTGGAGCAGGGAGGATGTGGGGTCACTGCCAGGGAGGGTGCGGCAGGTCAGCACTCCCACTCCCACGCCCAGACCCCTCAGCCCCAGCTCGCAGCCCCCATAGAGCCCCCAGCCCAACCCGAGCCCCTGTCCCTGCCTCATGGGCCAGCGCCGGGGCTTGTGCTCCTTTGGCCCCCGGCCGAGGTGAAGGGGCTGCCGGGGGCTCGGGGCAGGTCTGGAGGGGGGCACGCTTTGGGGTCCGACGCAGAGGGGGACAGGCAGGGGGACGAGCTGCAGCCTCCACTGCCCCCCCGCAGCCCCGTGCACGGGCAGGAGCCCCCAGATCCGCCCGGCCCCGTTCCCTCACCTGGGGGAGGCTGAGCTCCTCCTGAGCTGCCACCTTCTCCAGCGGGCTGCGGGGAGGGGGGGGCGGCCGCCGCCGCTCCAGCCCCCGCCCCAGCCCCGGCAGGGCGGGCAGGAGCAGGCCGAGGAGCAGCGCGGTGCCCAAGGCCGCCATGGACCCGCTCCGCGGGGAGCGGCGCGGACGGGCGGGCGGCCTGGAGCCGGGCCAGGCGGGGCCTCGGGGGGCTGCGGGGCCGGAGCCGGGCGGGACCGCGGGCGGTGCCGGATCCCGGGGGGCGTGGGGGGTCCCGGCCGCCGTGGGTGACGGCGTGTTCCGGGCGTGGGCGTGGCCCGAGGGGGCGGGGTCTGACGGGGAGGGGCGGGGCGGGGCCGAGCGGCAGCCGTGGGGGCGGTGGTGAGCGAGCGTGCCGCGTTCGGCTAGGTGCGCCTGGCGCGCTGCGGGGAGCTCTGGGCTCGAGCTCTCCGGCCTGCGGCAGGGAGCGGCGCGCTGATTGGGCGGGCGGGCGGGAAGCCACTGAGAGGAGCGGCTAGAGCGGCCTGCGGCCCCGGGGCGGAAGCTCGGCGCGGGGAGGCCGGAAGCGCGGGGTGGGGGCAGCGGAGCCGCCGAGGTGCCTTGGGGGGCCTGAGAGGCCGTGGGGGGGGGGGGCACGGCGCCGGTGGGGCCGCGGGGTGCTGGGCGGCCCGGCGGGGGTGGGCCCCCTTGGGCAGGGCCCCCGGGGCGGGGCTGCGGGCGGCCGGGCCGGGCCTCACCCCCCCCCCCCCGTTCGCTTCCAGGCGTGGCGGCAGAATGACACGATGGACGCGGGCGGCGGCCCCCTCCTCCCCGACAGCGTCCTCTACGAGATCTTCCTCTACCTGGACCACGTAGACGTGCTCTCGGTGGGGCTGGTGTGCCAGCAGTGGCACGCCGTGGCCCGCGACGAGTTTCTATGGAAGGAGCTCTTCTACCGCTACTACCGCGTTTCCCGGGAGGTGCCCCGGCACCCAGGTGCGCTGGCGCGGGGGGACGGGGCTGGCTGCCTTCCCCGCCTGCCGAGCGGGGGGGGCGGTGGTGCGGGGCCAGGGGGCTGCTCAGCGCAGGGGCCTCTGGCGGCCCCGGGGGCTGATCCCTGCGTGGCGGCACCCGGAACCCCCCAGCCGTGAGCACAGAAGGGAAAAGCCTCTCCCTCTCTGCTGCTTAACCTTTTGTCTTCCGGTGTCAAGGGAATGGGGCCGCTAAACGGTATCTCGTTAGCAGTCTATAGGCTTGGGTGGTGATGTGCGTGTGAAGGGCTCTGGAACTGCCTGAACGCTTGAGAAAGGGGCATCAGATGGTTTTGAAGACGCTTCGAATTCCTCTCCCTTTCACAGAAAGGTGGTTGCTGAGTTCTCTCTAGGCAGGCATTGTCTGGCAGGTACTGCACAGCTTGTCTGGGTGCTGCTGAGGGAGGTCCTGAGGAGACGCAGTGAGTCACTGCACGCTGCTACATCACAGCCCATGATAATCACTGCTGGCTTTTCCTGATCAGGACCTTGCAGCAAGCCTCTGCTTCAGGCTCTGTCCTTCTGTCATCCTGACTAGGAAGAGCTGCAAGTGCACATGAGCTGATCAGACTGTTTCCATAAAACATAGACAGCAGCTGCAGCCTGGCTCTGGAGGGAGAGTGCGTGTGCCTGCTGTCTGGAGAGGGAGGTGGGTGTGTGGCCATTTAATTTTACAGTGGGCAAATGCCAAGGCAGTAGCTAACCCGCTTTCTGGAGGAAGGTTGGACTTGATTTTGGCCTCAGCTTGCAGTAGGAAAATGTCCCATTAACAGTCAGCATGAACTGAGCCTGGCAGGGCCTTCCCTGGGCAGAGCTGTTGGCAGTCTTGGTGGCAGCAGTTTTACGGTCACAGGTCTGTTCTCTGCTGGGTTTCAGGTGCTGGCAGCAGTTTTGTGTAGTCTGGAAGGGTAACCTAACACTATCACGACAGCTGAGACTGGCCTTGGGGACCTGCTGACTTGCTGCCAAGGTGGGTCTCTCTCGGAGACCGAGAAGCCCATTCCCAGTGTGCTGCAGAGGTCTGGGGGGGCTGTGCTCCATCCTGCCATGAGGATATGCATGAGGGCCCCAGCAGTGGCTGTGATGGAGGGGATTGGCTTCCTGATCTTGAGTTACCATTGCTACAGAAGGACTGCTGAAGGGAAGAGATGCCAAAGCAGTGGGAGCCCATCTCCCCGCAGTGGGGAACACCAGTGCAGCAGGACTCTGATAAGAGTACAGCATGACTTGGGCTGCATGATTTCCCTTGTCCAGACCCTGGAGCTCTGTAGGGTTGAGGATGTTATCTGAGGCTCTGACCAGGCTCATTCGCTTCCAGCCTCCTGAAGTTAGTTAGTAAGCTGCCAGCCCTGTTCTTTAGCACTAATTGGGACTGAGCAGTCAGTGTAACTCAGTAATGTATTTGGGCACCTCCCAGGTTGTGCTTCTGGAGCTACGAGGCAGTGGGGGTAGGAGGTGGCCGGCAGGCCTGGGTAGGGGCTGAAGCAGGAGTCTGGGGAAATCCTCTGCCAGCCTACCTGCCCTGGGCAGCTCCATGGTTTGGGGAATGGTATCCAGTGAGTCTTGTGGGAGGAAATGTTGGGGCTGCTTGGCTTGATGGGATCTGTCCAGGCTGCTTCCCAGATGGATGGGCCAGGACCAAGAGCTTTGAAGTGGGATGAAGCCCCCAGCCTAATGAGCAATGGTGGGATGTCCTGGCAGCAAGCTGCTCCCTGCCTGCAGGAGCAGGTGCCTCCTGGGCTGCAGTGAGTTCCAAAAAAACCTTCAGTCCTGCTCAATGTAATGAGGGAAATTGGCCCTTACCCATATATGTGTCTAATCCTCTTTACTTCCTCAGGATTTGCTGCTGCACGAAGTCTGTAGGCTGCCTTACAAGCACTTCATTAAAAATCCTCTTTGTCTCTTTATCGACAATCACTGTGACTTCTGGAAGTGTGCTTCAGGCTTTTCTAGTGCAGGGCTCTTCTGTCCTGGCACACTGCATCCAGCTCCAATTCTTCTTTCTTATTTTCTCTAGTCTCTTATCTCATGGAGATGTTTTTTCCTGGTCTCATACCCTTTCTGGAACCTTCTTAATTCTGTTAGACAAGATAAAGATAATCAGAGCAGAGCCTGGTACCCTGAGGAGCAGCTCATCACATGATAGATTTGTTTGCATTTTGCTGGAGCACGCCTGCAGTTCTGGCGGCTGTTTTGTCCTGAGCAAGGTTTTTGTTAGATAGCTAACAGCTATGCCCCAGATGGTTCTTGCAGTGGCTATGCTGGTTTAGAAAGTAGTGCTACGGTGTGGAGTTGTGTGTTTACGGGGAGAAAAGGTATTTTCTGTGTGGGAGTGGGAAAGCTACTGAGAAAAATGTTAAGCCCTGCTAACTCAGCTGAAACTGTAGGGATGGCTGCCTCAGCGGAGCTCCTGACTTTGCTAGCAGGAGTCAAGACTGTGCTTTATTAAATATTGATTCTGCAGCTGCTGTGTTTATCTCAGGTCTATCACTTCCTTCTACTTACATTCCTGTCCCGTGTCCCTGATTGTGTGTTACAGCTGCAGTCTCCTGGTATGATGAGTTCCAGAGGCTCTATGACACCATCCCTTGTGTGGAAGTGCAGGCCCTGAAGGAGCACAATGACCAGGTTTTGCACCTCAGCTTCTCCCACTCTGGCTGTTTGTTTGCATCGTGCTCCAAAGACTGCACTGTCAAGGTAAAGCGACAGCCTTCCCTCCACAATCCTTCCAGCTTTGGTTAGTGGGGCTCAGCCATGAGAGCAGCCTTGAAGGAAGTCTGTGGAGAGTAGAGGTTTGACCAGGTGTCCCTGGACTTAGGCCGGTTCCTGCAGATGCTGAGTTGTTCTCAAAGCCACAGAACTAATGACTCTTGGAACTGTAGCCTTGAGGGCTGTGGATTCCAGCTCCAGCCCGCATGAAGGTGGCTGAGGTGCCTGCCTGGCTCTGGCTGCTTTGTAGGTGCAAGTCAGTCTTGTGTTGTGCTGTGGGTCTAACAGAGTGGAGATGATCCACTGCACAAAATGTCTTGCACGAGTGGTTGTGTTGGGAGAAGTCTCTCTGAACATGCTGAAAAAATCCAGCTGTGACAGTACCGTTCGCTGCTTGAACACCTCCACTGGCTGATGGAGAAGCAGTCCTACATTTAGAAGCTCTCCAAAGCTGCTGGCTATTTTCTGTCAGGGGAATTGACAGGGAAATCAGGACTGGGAGGCAGTTATATAGGGTCTTTGATATTTTTTTAATTTGTCCTGGTGAGCGCAGATAAAGTGGAACCACTCTCAGGCTTCTCAACAGCTTCCTGACTGTTTGTCTATCTGTCTGTAGATCTGGAGCAATGAGTTGGACATCTCCCTGCAGCACAGCTCCAACATGAGGCCCTACAACTGGAGCTACACGCAGTTCTCCCAGTTCAACTCTGATGACTCCCTTCTTCTGGTGTCAGGTGTCTTTGTGGGGCCTCACAACTCCTCTTCAGGAGAAATTGCTGTAATCAGCATGGGTAAATGCCGCCCTCACCTTCACTGGGGCTTTCTGGGAGGTGTGAAATGATGGGTGCTGGGGTTCCCTTCCTCTTTGGGTGTGCAGTGGCCTTGGCCTCTGCTTGTTCTACCTTCCACCATCTGTGCAAAGGGGTCCCAATCACAGTTTCATAGGGTAAACCTTCCAGATCGCCTTAGCTGTGCTCAGGTCACCGTGTCATTACTTAAAGGCAGTGTGGCTTATATTTATTCTCACTTAACTTCCATTCTAAGTGACAGTCTGGGCAAGGCAAGAGTTATGCACGTTACCTATTGTCTTGAGGCCACCATTTCTGACTCAAGTGGTGCTGGTACCACCCCGAGGTCTCAAGTGGCTTTCTGAGGCACATTCATCTGGGCCTGCTTCACCTCTTCTGCTGCAGTTCTGTGAAACTTGCTAATCCCAACTGCGTTATCTCTCACAGTCTCTGCTACAGTCCCACTGTGCCAAAAGTCAAGGAGTGCTGATAAATGCACAGCTGTCTTGCTGAGAAAGGCCCTGAGCCCCAGGGGCGGGAGTGAAAATATTCTGTACGTGTTTGACTTGTTCTTGTCCTTGGGGTGTCTGCTTTGGGCCATGCTCGGAGAAAGGCTGTGAGGTTAGATTGTTCTTTGGTCTGGCTCCGTCTGGCTACCCTTTTATTTTGGTTTCCCTCATGCATGCTCTCCCTACACATCGCTGTAGAAGAGAGAATTAATCTATCTTCATAGCGACTGGCAGTTGGAAGGTGGTTGGGCAGTGTCCACTTGGCTTGCGGTGGAGGTGCTGAATCAGTTCCTCTCCTGCAGAGACTTGAATCCACTTCCCATATCTTCTGCCCTTACCAGGAGCCATCACCTCACACTCGTGTTTCCCCTCCGTTCTAGAGAACTTCACGCTGCTTTCCAGGGTGAGGAATAAACCCTATGATGTGTTTGGCTGCTGGCTGAATGAAACCAACCTGATATCTGGCAATCTGCATCGGATTGGGCGTATAACCTCCTGTTCTGTGCTGTGGCTGAACAATGCTTTCCAGGTGAGGTGCCTTTGTTCCAGCTCCACAGGCAATGCAGCTTCCTGCTGGCTTCTGGGGGAGGAAAAGCTGCAGAGGAGGAGTGAGCGGGGAAGAATGGCCCAATCCTCCTGTCCTCCCTGTTTGTCTCCTCTGACTTGCCCTTAAGATCTTGAGCTTGAGACAACCCTTGCGTGAGGTTTCTCCACGCTTGGTGTTGTGGTACCCATTGCAGTATTCTAACTCTACCCTCAGATTCCATTAACTCTTGCCCCATTAATTGGGATGAGGACTTGAGTGCAGTGCCCTAGAGCACACATTACTCAACCAGGAGAGTGGTTGAACCACAACAGGGTTGCTGTGGTCCTTGATAGTATGAAGCTGGGCCTGGGATGGCTGTAGTCTGGCACGTATCCGAGCAATGGCCATTTTCCCACTTGGCAGCTCAGTGCATTGTCTCGGGAGCCAGAGGCATCTGAGAGGCTGAGCTCAGCCCTGCCTGTCCTTCGTGACATTTCTGTGGGCCAGATTCTGTCTCTGATGCTGTGATGAGACCTGGAGATCAGTGTGTGCTGGCCTTAGACTTCTTGTTTGCTGCTTGTTCATTCTCTGTCACTCGTGCTGCTCAGACACTTTCCTCTTCCATGTTTTACCTCTATCTCAATGTCACAGCTGCAAATCCCGGTGTTTTGTGGTTTTTAACATGGATGATTAAGGTGAAATCATCTGGTAGCAGAGACCCTTCCCGTAACCACATCTCTGTGGTGCACTGACACTACAGCATTAACTCTTCCATCTCCAGGAGGTGAGGAAGGTCCTTGCCTGCTTTGACAGGGGATGTTGTGAAGTGTGGCTTCAGACTGCCAGAGCAGTTAGGGGGGAAGAGACCTGCTGCTTGTGTCTGAGAGCAGATAACCAGGCTGGTCCTGCTGAGGGGTACGGGGGAACTCCAGGAGCATGGAGGTCTTTCGCCTCTGCTGCTTGTAGGCCAGGGGATGGCACTTCACGCTGCACTTTTGTTTAGTGCAGAGAGATGTTGGTGTGCGGCTGGTGCCTGCTGTGGGTGCTCACAGTCTGAGCAGACAGCTCTTAGTCTGAGCTGTAGGAGTGACCCTCCAGTGAGATGGTTCTGCTTACTTCTCCCTTCTGCTTTCAGGGCATAGAATCTGAGAATGTGAATGTAGTGAAGAGATTATTCAAAATCCAGAACCTGAATGCCAGCACTATCCGGACCGTGATGGTGGCTGACTGCAGTCGGTATGATTCCCCAGACCTGCTCCTGGACTACGAGGAGCAGCTAGCTGCTTCTTCCACCTGCCCAGTCCTTGATCTTGGCAGTGACAGCGAGGAAGAGGAGGCCAAGCCCAAGCAGACTTCAGAGCCAGCAGTACAGGAATTGCCAGATGATGGGGGTGTGACAGCAGAAGACGGGCTGCAGCAGTTCTTTGATGATATCATGGAGGGCCGTGTGAGGCCTGCTATGACCGAGACAGAGTTGGAGACAAAGGTGGCTGAGCTGTTTGTACGCAACAGAACTAAACCGCCTGAGCTGAACCTGCTCTCCATGGACAGCAACAGCAAGACAAAATATTTAATCTTCACCACAGGATGCCTCACCTACTCCCCACACCAGATAGGTAAGGCTGTGGTCTGAGCTCAGGACACGCCAGCCTCCCTGGGGGTGTGGGCTGCACCTACATTCTGAATTTGAATCTGGAAAAGACCTGGTTTATTTGCTGAGTGTTTGTGGTGAGTGAGTTGCAGTTTTGCTCAGGCTGCTGGATTCTTGATGTGGGAGGCTTTTGAGATGCCACCAGTCACTGAAGGGGGTTCCACCCCACAAGTGCTTGCTGTTTTGTTTGCTACCATGTTTGACACGTGGCCAAACAAAACAGTTGTGGCCAGGGCTGGGGGGAAGATCAAGAAAGAACTCCTGATTTAAGGACGTCAGCCATGAGTTGTGTACCAGCAGGTGGATGTGAAGGGCAGCAGTTGCCTTGATAGGGGTGTGTGGAAGGGCCTCAGCCCAGTTCTCTTGTAAGGGCATCAGGACAAGACTGGTTTGAGCAGCTTAAAGTTCAGATCTGTGTTGCTTGTGTGCAGTGCCCTTCAGCTCTGGGAGGTGGAGCCCTGCCTGCCCCTGTGCTTTGCCTGCTTTCCCCACTGCCTGGTTTGTGATCACCCTGCATCTTGTGGCCTTTCAGCCTCAATGAGACACTTGGGCACCCTGGGCTGGTTCTGAAGAGGCTTCGTGGTAGGTTGTTAGCTGCTCCAGTGGGTATTTCCATGGCAGACTGATGCTGGGCAGCTTGCTGGCGCTCAGCCTCCTTGCTCAGTGAGGTATAAGGGACTGCAGTTGCAGCACACATCAGGCAATGGCACTGCTTGTGACCTTTTTCTGGGTTAGGACTTCCCTTGCTCATCCAGGGCTTTCCTGTTGAGGCACTGGGACTAGCAGACTCTGAATTTGTAGGAAGTCGGTGCAGTGATGAGCAGATGCAAGTAGTCTGGCTGCTTCTCCAAAAGGCCCTAAAGCTAGCTGAGAAGTTCAGTGGAAATAACCAGACAGGTCAGTAATGTGGGGAGGGAAGGAGAGCTGCTTCCAGGCAAGAAGACTCTTCTGTAAAGACAGACAGTTTCAGTTCCTTTTGCTGCTTGCACAATTACAGCCTCGCTTTTCTGCTGCAGGCTCTTCTAACCTTCCTGTTACTTGGTCCTGCACCAGTACAGCCCAGTAAGGCAGGGAAACGTAGTTTCCAAAGTTGTAGACAACTTGGAGAAGTCACATGTCTTTGCCCACCTAAGTTAGGAATGCGACCTGGACTGAATGCAGCTCTGCTCCACGCTCCTGTCCATGGCCAGGTCTGCAGGCAGATGTGGTGGACCTGGGCCTGCCTCTGGGTGCGTGGCAGGTGGTCTGCCCTGTAAACAGCGCTGCATCTTGATCTGCCGGGCTGAACAAACGCTGTGCCGCAGGCTGGGACCTGCAGCATGTGAGGGCGAAGTGTGGCACAGAGGCAGCACTTGCCTTTGGACTCCGCCGACTTCCAGAGCAGCCTCCCAGGGCCGTGGGTTTTGGTGCCTTTGAACTCCGGTGACTCCCTGGCCCGTGGCCAGTGCCCTGGGCACAGACCGGCTGTTTGGAGGGACGAACCCTGGCTCCGCTCCACGCCCAGCCATGAGTCACTGCAGAATGTTATGTTTGCCCATTGGTTTGTGTGTTGAACCAGCCTTTGTGCATCTGCTGTCTGCCCCCAAGGAACTGGTACTTGAAAGAGCTTGCTCTTGTGCTTTTCTCTTGCCAGGCTGCTGGTGGGAGCCGCGCTCATGCGGCTGGGCATCGGCGCTATCTCGCCTGATCTGTGACACGCAAGCACTTCTGCAGAAGTTTCCTTTGAGCTGCTGTCTCCCTTGTGCTGGTGTCAGGCTTGAGTCATGGGCGAAGCCACTTGTCCTGATGGCTTATGTGTGTGTGGGCCATGTAGCCGAGAGCTTAGTGCTGCAGAAATGAGACAAAAGATCCTGGTGAGCCAGTGTGTGGAAGAGTGGAGGTCCTGAGCTGCCCAGGTTCAGAGGCAGTGATGTTGTAAAGGGCCATGGACTTGAGGTGCAATGTGGTGTACATCTCGTTGCCCTGCGGGAGAGGGTTAAAATCAAGGGTGCTCAGCAGCAATTCCCTCTGAGGTGATGGGATGGGCCATCTTCCATCTCCTCTTGGACTTGCTGAGGATCAAGCCCATGTGTCCCCAGGAGCTGCTGAGGCTCGTAGGAGTCCTCCAGGAAGCTGTTGTGGGCGGTTTGTGTTTGGGACCTATGTCTAGAGCTGGAAGGGGACAGGGCTTGACCCATAGCATGTGTCTCCCTTAGGAAGTTTAAAACCTATAAAACACTTGAGTCCAGTTTGGGTTTAAACCCCTGTTTCTGGAGCTTTCTGGGGCTGACACCCATCTACGCTTGACAGTGGCAGGGTAAAATCCTGCCACAGCCAGCACATCTGCTGGATATGGCCGGAAATGGGCCCAGCCCAGAGATTCATTTAGGAGAAAAACCCTTCTGCAACCAGAGTGTCTCCTGGACCAGTGCAGCTTCCTTGTGCTTCAGAACATGCTGTGAGGTGTGTCTTTGGCAGCTGGACACTGGGCATCTCCCTGGCTGGGGTTGAATGTGCCAGCGTGTCAATTATGGGCAGTGTCCTGGCCAAAAGCACCACTTGAGGGAGCTTGAAGGAGCCTGGCAGGGACCAGAGCCCCGTTCAGGTCCTCAGCTGTAGGCAAGCCAGTTCTTCTTTCTTAGCAGCACTAAGGGAAGCCCCTTCTTGAAGCCTGGGGACTTCCACCAGCCCTCCTGTCTGCTGGCAGCAGCCTGCAGAACTGCCTGATTCTGCTTTCTGTCCCCAAGGGATTAAAAGGATCCTGCCCCATCAGATGACGACTGCTGGCCCAGTGCTTGGGGAGGAGAGGCGCTCAGATGAGTTCTTTGACTCACTGGATCACGTCATCGACATCCACGGGCACATCATTGGCATGGGCCTCTCCCCTGACCACAGGTGAGCGTGGCAGAGTGGCAGTGCTGGTGTCAGACACTGCAGGGGATGGGTGGCAGCTGCTGAGGGGCTTTGTGGGGTGAACAGGAAAAGGAATGACTGTCACGGATGGAGCAGGCTGCCTGCATAGGCCGCCCTGCTCATTCACATCCCTTTTATGTCCTAGTGCTGATGGCATGTGTTGCCACCTGAGATCTCAGCAGGAATGCTTCTGCCCTCTGCACTGCTGAGCCTGGTTCAGGATTGGGTCCGGCAAGGAGCCTTGTAAGAGTGAAGGAGCTCCCCACACCAGTGTGTCTTGTTCCCAAGGCAGATCAGTCATAGAATCACGGAATGATTTGGGTTGGAAGGGACCTTAAAGATCATCTAGTTCTAATCTCCCTGTCATGGGCAGGGCCCCCTTCCCCCGGCCCAGGGTGCTCCCAGCCCCGTCCAACCTGGCCTTGAACCCTTCCAGGGAGGGGGCAGCCACAGCTGCTCTGGGCACCCTGGGCCAGCACCTCACCACCCTCATAGTAAAGAATTTCTTCCCTATATCTAATCTAAATCTCCCCTCTTTCAGTTTAAAGCCATTACCCCTCATCCTATCCCCACCCCCTGATCCAGAGTCCCCCCCCACCTCTCCTGCTCCCCCTTTAAGCCCTGGGAGGCCACTCGAAGGGCTCCCCGGAGCCTTCTCTTCTCCAGGCTGAACCCCCCCAACTCTCTCAGCCCGGCCCCCCAGGGGAGCTGCTCCAGCCCCCCCAGCATCTCCGTGGCCTCCTCTGGCCCCGCTCGAGCAGCTCCAGGTCCTTCTGCTGTTGGGGGCCCCCGAGCTGGCCCCAGCACTGCAGGGGGGTCTCCCCAGAGCGGAGCAGACAGGGGAGAATCCCCTCTCTTGACCTGCTGCTCACAGTATACCACCATCCTTACAGTTGATTTTAACAGGGATTAAGGAGGCTTGACCTAGCCCCTAGGACCCACCTTCTGAACTGTGCTGACCCTTTCCTTTCCAAACACAGCATGAAGTGTTTCAGCCTGGATTTTAGTGAGCTGAGCTGCGTGCTTGCTACAGACCAGAGAAACTTCTCAGTTGCTGCCTTGCCTGACCTGCACATTTACAGCTGGGGCTGCACGAGCTGTGTTGCATGCGGCGGTGTGCATGGTAACCCCTCTGCTCCCCTCCCCAAGGTACCTGTATGTGAACAGCCGCGCCTGGCCTCGGGACTGCGTGATCTCTGACCCGATGCAGCCACCCCCCATCGCCGAGGAGATCGACCTGCACGTGTTCGACCTGAAGACAATGAAGGAGGTGAAGAGAGCCCTCCGTGCGCATCGGGCCTACACACCCAACGAGGAGTGCTTCTTCATCTTCCTGGATGTCAGCAGGGACTTCGTGGCAAGGTGTGTGGTGATGGGGGTGGGCAGGATCCTTGACCCCATATCCAGGAGGCCCTTGGGGCTGCCACTGTGGGACAAGCTGTGCAAACAGGGCTGGTCCGCGTGCTGGAAACACTTGGGTGTTGTGAGCAGAGCAGGAAATTGGAGGTTTGTAAAGAGCAGAGGGACTGAATCAGAGAGTGCTGATAAAAGCTGTCCACACTGGTACTGTTGCGAAAGCAGTGAGGAAAGGGAAAATTTTGAGCTGTGGCATGTTTGGTGGTGGGTGGCAAATGCCCTTCTTGGCAGGTGCTATGGGGCGAGTGGATGGGGCTCTTCAAACAGCCTCTGGGTCCCAGAGGGAGCTGGCCTGCTCAGGATGAAGCTCAGGGGTGATGGGGCTGCAGATTAAGGCCGGGGAACCCTCTGCCTCCGTCTGCGCAGAAGGAAGCGGGTTGGGAGTGGCAGGTTACTGGGGCGATGTCCTTACCGGTGTCTTGTCCGCCACAGTGGTGCAGAGGATCGCCATGGCTACATCTGGGACCGGCACTACAACATCTGCCTGGCCAAACTGCAGCACGACAACGTGGTCAACTCGGTGGCTTTCAGCCCGGTAGAGCAGGAGCTGCTCCTGACAGCCAGCGACGACACCACCATCAAGGTGTGGCGCTCCCCTCGCGCGGTGCGCGTCCAGCAGGCCAGGAAGCCCCGGCCCAGGAAACTGCTCTTCTCCTGGCTTATGAACCAGAAGAGCTGAACCCGGGTACACCTGCACCTGCAGCTTCCTCACTGCAGCCATCTGCTCTGGAGCTTGCAGAGCTCCGAGCCCTGCGCAACAGAGACGAGCTCTGGGCACACAAATCCCATCTGCTGAGTCAGGAGGGACCCCAGTAGCAGGAATTGCTTCCTCCTTGGGGCATCTTCTTCAAAGACAGAACGTAATAGCTGAGGCCCTGTTCCTTGGCCTGGCGGGCAGCAGCCTGAGCTGGTCACTGCAGGGTAGGCTCCCCACAGCTTCTCACGAACGCTGCTACTTGGTCACAGCTCTCTCTGGGTGAACTTTGGTCTCTGAGAACAGACAGGCACGTCTCCAGCGTTTGTACTGTGTGAACCTGGGACGTGGCTGACCTCACCGAGAGCTACCAGCTGCAGAGCACTTGGCAGAAGCCACGGTACAGTGCTATGCTGCCTTACTGCAGGACTCTTTTAACATAGTAGTTTTATGAATGTTTGTCTGTCCCAAACCTCCACAGGCAACTTATTTGGCTGCTGGATAATGCTGAGTGCCTCCTCTCATACTGAATCTTGGCCCTGGAAGGCAGTGGCAGGGCAGGGGGAGAGGCAGGCAGGGCAAGGGGGGGCCTGGCGATGCCTTCTGTTAGCAGCTATGTGTTGATAATCAACAGTTCCCGAACTTGAGGGTGGGGAGGGCTGGTGGTAACATGGTGCTGGCTTTGCCTGTCTTCCTCTGTTAAGTAGCATTTAAATAAGGTATGATAATGGCAAGGTACTTATTCTAGGGGATCTGCTGTCCCTTCCCAAGGGGCAGCTGTGAGGATGACTGGTGGGTCTTGTGGTCACCTCCCTCCCATGCTACTTAAGTCATGGCACTTTAGGTTCTTTTGGTATGTTCTCTGTGAATAGATGTAGGCACCCACGGGTGGCTGCAGGTATTCACCCATAGGTGACCAGGGGGATGCAGCCCTCCTCTGCTTGAAGTGACAGTTGAATAAGCTTCCTTCCACCTGGGCTGACTTGCTGTGGGTTTAGTGATCAGCTCCTTCCTTCCCGGGACCTCTCTGGTAGTGGAGAAGGCTCACTTGAAGCGATTACAAACTTGATGATGTTTATTCTGTATATGTCCCTGAAGCTTTCCTCCCTGCAGCAGGTACCCAAATGTAAGAGTCTAAAATTAAGCTCCTAATCTTGACTTGGGCCAGGTGGTTGGACCCCAGGAGCTGGGCTCTGGGCAGTGGCTGGAAAGGAGCAGTGTCCCAGGCAGGGGCTGGGGGAGGTGTTTTGGGACTCCCTTGGGAGCACTAGCAGCAGTTGTCTGTGCCACTCCCAGCCTTGGGTTGCAAATAGATTTAATGGAGGCAGCAGATACTGCCTTGATATGCACTGATGGCTTTAGCAGCTCCTGTGGGCCCTGGCAGGAGGGCTTGTACCTTTGCTCTGCTGTGACCCAGCAGGTGCCCATGGCTTTATCCAAAACCCCTGTACTCAGGTTTTCTGTCATAGTAGGCCTTCCAGAAACAAGGGAGTCCTTTGTGTATGTGCATACAAAATCCACATCCAGCGCTCTGTCCAGTCACACACCAAAGGAACAGCTGCTGCCTTCCTCCCTCCTCCCCCAAGATTGTGAAATCTCTTCTCCCTTGGCTTGGTGTAGTAGTGAGCAAGGCACTGAGGGTTTATGTTTGTACCAAGTTTTGCTCTTCACTAGGGCACTGAATAAATATTCTGCTAAAGCATCTCTGCAATGCAAGCTTGTTTTTCTGAGTGCTGTTCCACTGAAGCAGAACTGAGGCTGGAACTGTCCTACTGCTGTGCCTATAGCTGCTGGGGCACAGCAGGAGCAGCTGGCCAACTTGCAGTTACCTGCCCTGGGCTGGGAAGTGCAGGCAGGAAGCTGTAAAACAACAGAAGTCCAAATTGTCTGAATCTTCTTTGCCCTCAGGGAAGAGGACAGCACGGCCCTGGGGAAGGGGAGCAGCAGTTCATGGCAGCCTCAGGAAGGCGCTCCTCTGCCAGGGCTGAGCACTGCAGGCTCCAGGACAGGCCCAGAGCTGGAACGTCCTGGTTTTTCCGTGTCCCCCCTTGATTTCTAGTTATTCCATGTACTAACAGACACTGACCAGGTCAGCAGGAACGAAGCGCTGTGGCCACTCCTGTGCTGCAGCAGCATCGTGTGTTCCACCACCACTCTCCTCTTACAGCCTTTTGCCATCTTCCTTGGTGCACTGTGCAGCAGCTGCACCTGTATGGAATGGGTCTGGCTGCTCCCTGGAGGGGACAGGCCCCCTTGGGTACCCCTTGTATTTGTATTTTCCACAGACACATATCTAGAGACAGCTGTGCTGGTGCTCTGGGGGGGCAGGACAAGGTCTCCTGCAGGGACATTAGGCCCAGCACAGGCCCTTGGCTCTGAACAACAGCTAAGAAAACTCAGGCTCTCTAAAGGAGCTCAGCTTCTGCTTTCTTAGGCAGCACCCAGGAACGTAACATGTTAGATTTGCCTTTCCATTGTTATGCAGCTCCCCTCTACTGCTGCCAGTAAAGCCCACCCAGCACCAGTACACCAGCTTTCTGTGGCCCCCTGTACCTGTGATGTTCCCCCAGGCAGGCTGGGGCCAGGACACCCCCCCAGGAGCTCCTTCCCTGTCCACTCCTGCTGCCTCCCAGGCAGCAGGCACTCCCCAGGCTGCTGTGCTCCTGCAGGCAGACAGCAGCCGGGGAAAGCTTCCAGCACAGAACTAACCCCCACCTCGGAGGTGATCCTGCCCCTGCTCCTCTTCCAGCCCATGCAGTGGTGGAGCCCCAGCATCCCATACATTGTACAACAATGGTCTTCAAAGGGCTTTTATTAGTGGTTCTGACCCTACTACAACCTGAAGGGAAAAAAAACTTACTTCACAAGGCCAGGCTGAGATGGATGTTCTCTGATTGCTGTGGTCAAAAGGGGAAAAACAAGAAAAAAAAAAAAACACAAAAATCCAGTGGTGGCTTGTGACCAGTGTCTGTTCACGTGCCAGCCCAGCTGGCAGAGCTGTGCCCAGGAAGGTGCTGTACCCCTGCCTGCAGCACGCAGGCCTCTGCAAGGGACAGGCACTACAGTTACCTCCACAAGCTCCAGAGCTGTTTAAAAACGGAGAAGGCCCAGGCAGCATTGTCAGCACCAGATCTGCCTCTCCGGCCACAGGGCAAGGGAAGGGAAACACCACAGCAATGAGAAGACGGTGTTGCAGGGGCTCATCGCCCCTGCCAGACACCTGTGTGCCCCACACCAGCAGCAGCACAGCCCAGCCCCTCTGCAGCCTGATCTTTGCTCGCAGCACCGACTCCCCCACCTACCTTCCAGGCACCTGCTGGGGCAGGAGGACCAGCACCCCCCCCGCCCCAAAACAGCCCAGACACCCCCTCAGCTGAGCTGGCATTTCCCCAGGCACCCTCTGGCACAGTGTGGGTGTCCAGCACCTCAAGAGCAAAGACTTTCCTATCAACTCAGACCAAGCTTCCCTGCTGCCCGCCCCCGATAAAACACTTAATTCCCAAGCACTAAACAAGCAGAGCTGATTCTCTTCCCTCTCTCCAGGCCTTTCCCAGCCTCTGTGGGGCTGGGAGCCTCCCCTGGGCCTGGCAGTGGAGAGCTGTTGCAGGTGGGAGCAGGGCTCCTGAGCTTTACTTTTTTATTTTTTTTTTTTTTTTAATCTCCTAAGGCAACAGGGTGAGAGTGGCAACACAGCGCTTGATCCATCCCTCGGGCCAGGCTGGGGCTTGCACACTGGAAGGGTCCTGCCACCTCCGGGGAGAGCTGAAACCCGAGGGGGCTGAGGCAGGGAGGTAGGGCGCAGGCAGGGGCCCAGCCCCACTCTGCTCTGCGAGGGGCTGCACACACCCACTGCCCTCAGGGGGGGAAGGAGCCGGGCCCTGCCTGCCCCACAGCTGCCGCAGCCACACCAGCAGGTTTCCCAGCCCACACTGCTGACCCCAGCACAGGCTCCTCTCCCCCTCCTCATGCTGAAAGAGCAGAGCCTGCCCCTGGCCACAGCCTCTGCATGCAACAGGGGTGGAAAAATCCACAGGGAGACTTCACAGTGGGGATCAGAGGTCCTCCCAGCACCCATCCACAGGCAGGGAGAGCCCCCCCACCAGGACAGCACCCTTGGGTGCAGGAGGTTCAGCCTGGGTCAAGGTCTAAGCTCAGCTCCCCACCAGCCTGGAGAAGGGCACCAGGCACCCCCCAAGCTCCCCAGGCAGCAGTGGGGACACCCCAAACCACCCCAGGTGCAGGCAGTCAGGGACTCGCAGGGCTCCCCAGGCCCCCAGTGGGTCACAGCTCCCCTCCCCTGACACCGTCCCTGGCCCCGCTGCGGTGGCTGTGCCGGAGCACTGGTGGAAGCAGTCCCCAGGCAAGGTGGGCTCTGCATCCCTCGGGCCAGGGCTGGGCACCAGGCAGGGAGCTGCTGGCAGAGAGGGGCTTCCTTCACCACGGCCTCACATCCCCTGGCCCTGCCACCAGCATCTGCCACTCCCCACTGAGGGTGATCAATGGCAGCCACAAGCAAGAAGAGGGTGACCGGTCTCCAGCCTCACTGTCCCCCCTTCCTGGCCTGAGGCACAGCATGGGCGCTGGACAGGGTCCTGGACCATTATTGCAAGGTGGGCTCAGCAGCCAGCTCCTGTGACCAGCAAAACCTCTGCTGGGGCACATCTGGATGCTGACACGGGTGAGGGGAGCACAGGCAGAGAAGGCAGCAAAGCCTCCAGAGTCCAGCCTGGCTAACTGCCTGTCCAGAGTTACTCAGAGCCACAACAAAACAACTCCAGAGAGACCAGCCAGCCACACTGCAGGGATGTGGCAGCAGTTTCTTCTCCATGAATAAAGACCTTCTCACAGGTGCTGAATGCTTGCTACCCAGAAAGGAGTGGTGCCAGGAGCCCATGCACAAATAGGGGACAGCAAGCTTCACTCAAGGACTTCTCCAGCCACCCCGGGTCCTAGTCAGGTGGCTGCAGGCTCAGTGAGGGGCCAAGCAGAGAGAGCACTCCAGTGTGCAATGACCAGGGACTGGCAGGGACGCAGGACTGGGGAAAGCCACCGCTGGTGGGCAAAGCAGGCCCTGGGGGAGGGCAGGGGCTGGCCAGCAGCCACCCAGTGTGCGGGCAGATGCAGAGGTGTGCCACGTCCCTGAGCGCCCGTGCAGATGGACAGTGGCCGTGCAGGTGAGGACAGCCGCGGAGCCGCAGCCGCACGCGCTCGGCCACTGGCGAGGGCCCTGGGAAGGCCGGTGGGCCTGTGCCGTGATAGGGCTGGAAGCCAGCTCAGGAGCATTCGTGGGGGAGTAAAGACAGCTGCCAGCACTGCCACCATCCTGCCCCCACCACTGCTCAGGCACAGGCAGGCAGAGAATGGCAGGGTCTGGCTGAAAACCCACCTGGGGCTCTTGGCATTTGGAGAGCTGCTGTCCTGCACCGAGCCCTGTGTTACCCTCCTCTCCCAGGACAGGACGGGCAGGGTCGAGGGGAGATTCACTTCTCTTTCACTATGGGCATCCCTGGCGCTGCTGCCCCATGCTCCCTCCCAGGCAGCAGGCACTTCCTGCCCCATCCCACGCTCCCAGCACACTGCTCAGAGCACAAACCACTCAAACACACCGCGAGAGCCAGACTCGGGGTACCACTCCCCCTTGTGACACACAGCTCAGCTCAGCAACCCTCTCTGAAGTCACTGATGGCATCAAAACAGCGGCAAAACAGTTTGCACCAAGCCTGCCACACACCCTTCCTGTCCACTGAGGCACAGACCAGCCAGCAGCACAGAGCAATGACACCCCTGCAGCACACAAAACTTCCAGGAACACAGAGATCTCTGAAGAAAATCCTAGGTGGCTGAGCCGAACATCCACTCAAGGTGGTGCTTGAGCAAGCCAAATCCTTTTTTTACTACAGAGCACTGTGGATCTGCACTAAACTGGTAGAGCAAGAGCTGCACTGGTTTCCACTGGGAGCCCAGACAGCAGCAGTTCAGACACCCAAGTCCCTGCAGGAGATCTTGTACCCTGCAGACTGTGAATGTCCACCCAAACCTCTTCTCAGGGAAGGTCTCTCTGACACCAGGGAAGAGGGTTCCCATCAGACACCTTGTTTCCACTCAGAGTGAAGGTCCCTTTGTGGGAAGGGCTATTCCCCTTCTGCTTTTTGCCCCCTCCTTGCTCCGAGACCTGCCTGAAGTGCAGCACAAGAGGGGGACGCCCCACTTGGGGCTGGCTCTGCGTTCACTGCTCCTGGAGGTGAGGAGGGTTAAAGGCCCGTGAGATCAACGATGGCTTTAATAAAGATGGCGTCATCACGCACGTAGGAGTTCTTGGCTTCCATCACAGAGACGGGGCAGAACAGCGGGCAGCCGCTGGCGATGTTCATTTCTGTGATGGGTCGCTGGAAGGAGGAGGATGTCACATCGGGTCGGAAGGCATCAATGATGTGCTCCCGGTTGTTCTGATCTAGGAGCATCAGGGTTACCTGCGGGGAAACATGAAAATATATGAGAGCAGATGAATAAAAAGCACAGAGGTGCCCAGCCCAGTGACCTGCTCACCTGAAGCCTGTGAAACGTGCAAATACCAATGCAACCACAGCCTCGTCATGAGCCTGCAAATCTGAGAAATGCCTGGAAGTGGGGTCAGTGGAGAATGTCATCTCAGTGACACTCTGCAGAAACCTTCCCACATCTTGCCCTGTCACTGGAAACTTCTGTGTGGCAGCACAGGGCTGTCAGACTCACTCCCTACAACAATGCCCCACGCAGGTGATTCACTAAGTCGCAGAGTTGCCGTCCCCCTGCGAAAGAAGGCGGCTCCTCTCTCTGCATCTGTACTTCACCCGCTCGGCTTTGAAGTGTTTCACAAACCTGCAATGTCTAGGAACAGCAGTCTGAGGTTCTGACGCTGAGTGAGCATCAGCTGCGCCCCAAGTACCGAAACCACAACAACCTTCCCTCACCCTGAATTCATGCAGAGGCTTCACTCGCTTTCCAAACACGCTGCTGCTCTCCTGCCAGAGTCTCTGCTGTTTCATGCTCCTGCCCTGTAGCACGCTCGGTGCTCTCAGCACGACTGGGGAATCCCCAGGTGGCTGATATATCAAACTCCTTCCTTATTCTGCTTGCTAAGTAGGCCAGACCAACAGCATCTAGAAGCTCAAGTGGATGCAAAGCTAGAGGCACGTTGCTGGGCACAGCGGGCTTTGTCCCAAACCTACCTTCTGGTTGAAGGGCCATCGCAGAAGTGCATCGTTGGGTCCTTTCATCACCACAAAGAACAAGGACAGATGGGTCCCACGCCCGGTGCCATCCCCGTTCAGGTAAACACGCAGACACATCTTGTAGCCATACTTGCTCGTGTAGAAAGCTATCAAAGAGTCGCAAAACAGATACAGTGAGCGTCAAACCCAGCAAAGCCTGGCACCAGCAGGTTCCTTTGAACTCTGAGGACTCTAAAGTTTGGATCCTGGAAGAAGCCAGGTCTGGGTCTTAAAACACCCTGCACCACAGAGGTGGTCTGGAAAGCCACGAGGTACAAACAACAGTCAGATGCCATCTTAGACTGGCCTGGGGACAGCCCCCAGTCAGGCAGCCACAGGCCCTGGTCCGGCTGAGATGCAGAGCACTGCAGCACAGAGCGGGGTGCCAGCCAGCCCCTCGGGCTCTGCCCACCCACCACCGCAGGCACCAGCACCCCGGGCAGAGCCCGAAGCTGGGTGCTTCCCACTGGATCCCCTCCCGACCTGCCCGCTGTGCTGCACGTGACTGCTAAAGGAGCTCAGTTCATAGCAACAATGCTGACGAGCAGGAGCAAAACCACCCCAAAAAACCCTGTCCGGGGCTAGACCATCCTCAGTACTCACTCGAGCCTCTTTGTAAGCTGGCTGCCTCTGATGGGGGCAGAGGCTCAAGCAACTGAGATTTGGTCACCTGTTAGGACCCCAGCTGCTCTGCACAGCTGGATATGGGTCTGAGATCTCAGGCTCTCTCCTTCCCCAGCAATTCTGGGAATTCCCATGTTGTGACACCACACCCGTGCAGGGCCACAGAAATGCATCTCGGAAGGGGACCTGCTGCAAACCACCTGCTCAGCAGCGCAGAGCTACACGCCTCAGGTCCGGCGAGGCTCAACAGCCTCAGGACATGGGGCAGGAGATCAGAGCTGGCATTTTACTGCAGTGCTCAGTGCACTTTTATGAACAAGCAAACTCTTAAATAGCAGAGATAGCGTGCGCTACCACAGGGTGAGGAGCAAGAGAGCAGGGCTTTGCCACCGCTTCCCTCCTGGCACTCCCCAACTTGTTTTCTCTAGTCCTTCCTTTCCACTTGCTTCACCCAAAGGCTTTCAGGGTAGTTGCCACCCTCTGCTAGTCCAAGCAGCAGAGCCCCACTGCCCATCTGGGGCTTCCCAGCACTCCCGTCACCCTGTGAACGTAAAACCAGGTGGGGAACTGAAAGAAGGATGGCTGATCAAAGCAGTGGGAGTACCCAGGAAAAGGCACCAGGCAGCCAGCGTGCTAAACACCTTGTGCACCACGCTGTCAGCTCTAAGTAGTGAACCAGGCATCCTGCTTCCCACCAGCCCAAGCAAAGGCAAAGCACATCAGAAGCAAAACAAGCCCAGCAAGATGCCCCCCAGCATCTGATGGGCAGCAGCGGGTGACTTTCCAGCAGGAGCTTTGCTTTGGTCAGTCCTGGTTCACATACATGATGAAAATTTCTTGTGAAGACTTGCCTTTTTGAACACTTACGATTTTGCCCTTTGCAAAATCCTGTGGCAATCATTGTGTCCTCACAATGTGTGTGAGTGTTAACTCTACTTCCTTCTCTTTAATGCTGATTTCATTTGGTATTTCCTCATCTTCACATTTAAATACAAAACAATTATACTAATTTCCCTTTTTCATCCCATTCATAACCTAGACCTCTAAGCTCCCAGCTGTCTCCTTCTCAGACTGAACAGCACTGATTGATTTGCTTTGCTTTCTAAGATTAAAAAAAAAACCACCTGCATAACAATTATTTGTTTCCCAGTCTAATTTTCTCAGCTAAAGCAGCACCAGGAATGAGGATCTGTTGTCTAAATGACACAATTGAACTCTGTAGTAAACAAGGCCTTGTACTTTGCCCTTGCAAGATTAAAAAAAAAGTCCTGCCTTTTTCAGAAGCAGTCCCAGCATTAGGCAGAGGCAGCCCTCACTTTACAATCGTTTCAGCCACATACAAGATTTTCAGGAGCAGATTGCAGAAACCAACCAACACAAAACACAGCCTGGTGGCCTGCAAAATAGTTTTTCCTTTGATTAAACAGTTTATAAAAGCCCTGAGCCCTGCCTTTGCTGCATTGCCACTACTGCCAGCCAGGGGATGGAGACCAGCCACCACGCACATGGAGGAGGAGGCACCAGCAATCACGAGCTGCAGTTCTGGGAGGAACTGGGCATTCAGAGCACGGCTGAACAAACATCCCGGCATACAAAGCCTCTTGCATTTGGAGAGGCTTCACCCCTTTCCCTCCCACAGGCTGACTCTGATGATTATATTCCTCCACCAGCTGACTTGATTCCCCAACCTACAAAAACAAATGCCACCCCCTGTAAGGACCCCAGGTGGCATCAGCCCATGAAGACCCCCGAGGAGCCCCCGAGCTGGGGCAGTGAGCAGGGATGCTCGTGGCCAGAGAACACGAGTCAGCTCCGTCCAGCATCTCCCTCCAAACTGCAGCCTCTGGAGATGTTCAGGTCAAGTACCTCTTGAGCACAGTGCAGGAGATGGGCAGGATGCAAGATTTAAGGTCCTCTCTCTAAGTCAAACAAAATATATTTGAAGTAGATTTGTTGGCTTTGGGAAAAGGAAGTGCTGTCCTTCCTGAAGGGGACAAAGAGCAGGGGTTTTCCACAGCTGCTGCTGACTTCTAATAGGAAATGCTAATTGCATGCGCACAGTTTCAGTAGCAGTTTAGTTCTCCCCTCAAGAAGAGGAAACTTTTTTTATTTCAGTTTTTCAAGAGAAAAAGGACTCTGAACAGTCTTCATCCAGAAAACAGATTTTAAGGTAGTTTTAAAAATTCAATTGCTTTTATCTTGTAGCCCAGACACATGCTGCTTTCTCACAGCACCGGGAAGCAGGAGTAGAGTACGTGCTCAAGGTTTTCATGCAGTTCTGGGCATTATGAAAAAGCTCCCCAGCACACTTAGATCTAAGCAATTCCTGCTCTGACAAACACAAACTCCTCTCTTCAACCATTTTGCTGCAAGGTGAGCTCCCCACCAAGCAATGAAATTGTGTGAAGAGATGGTTTCATCTTAAAGCTGCAAGCCTGGGACGTGCTTTCATAAGCAAACAAGCCAGATCATAACCTACTGCACACTGTCTGAGATTTTCTTTAAGAGCAGGAAGAACAGTGCTGGGCTGGGGCAGTTCTGCAGGGAGACCCTCTTCCTCCAACAGATATTCGAGCACTTCCCTAGGTATGGTTTGGGCTTTATTTAGATATTGTCTCTTGCACTATCATGCTTTAGGCACTAAGATACATTTCTGGGGCTCTAATACATATTTCCTCCTTTCTTTCACCATTTTATTGCCGGTTTTGTGGTCTATGAGTATTTCAATTTTATCTAAAGGGTTATGCAGGGCTATTCCGGAACTAAGAGGGTTGCATTCTCCATTATGAGGAATTATAAAGGTCTTCTGTAATCAAAAAAGCACCTCTTTCAGCAGCAGTTTCATTTAGCCCAATGCTAAAAAAAAGTGGTTCAGGCTCCACAGGGAAAGAGGGAGAGAAATACATCTGAATGGCCAGCATCTCCCCTGCTAAAGACACCGCTACAAATCCCACACCCAGCTGAGACGCAAAAGGCTTTTGCAATTTTGTGGGCAATAACCTGGAGAGAAGATCGCAGGAGAGCGTCCTGTTATCGCCTCCTGACGCTTCCTGGCAAATTCTGTTATCTTCCAGATGAAAACACCATCGTAGGTGGAAGCTTCCATGTTGCGGATCTTTTCTTCCATCTCAGCCATGGCCAGATCTTTGAGCCCAATGCTCCTTTCCAGCTGCCGGACCTGCTCAGTGGGATACACGGTGCAGCCTGGTTAGAAACACGTACTGCTGTGAGACCCAAGAAAGCCAGCAGACACCAGCATCCCCTTCAGGACGACTCCTTAGTGAGAGACATTCTGCAGAACTAACAGGGGTCACGGGAGGGAGGAATTCAGCATCGTAAGCTAATTCACTGAAGCTTCTTTTTGAACCCTGCCATTCTGGAGAAGATACATAGGAACAACTCAGTGCTTGAGCTGGAAACTTTCCCACAGCGAATGGAAAAATCCTCCCAGCGAGCAGCTCCATTACGTTAGTAGCACAAGAAGTGAGGATGGAGAGGGGAAAAAAAACAAGTCAGCACTGTGACAAAACTAGATTGAAAAAGAGAAGAACCTACACTCAGCCAACAAGGTCTCCAGAGGGTTAATCACTGCTAGCTAAGATAGGGTCACGCCAGTGTTGGCAGCTCCCTTGCCAAGAGAGCACAGGTACATTGCGAACTGCACGACTCCCAGTTGCCAAGACACACTGACAGCGCTCAGCAGGGACTGTTCTGGAGCATATTGGTGGGGGCAGCTTCTTCACACCTCCAGACCATGCTTGGCACAATGCTGTAGCGCAGCATCAATGATTACATTCCTTCTGAAAGGTCTGGAAGGTACACAGCCCCGTGAATTCAGAGAGATCCACGTGAAATGCTGGGTGCTCTGTCTCTTGTTGGAAAACTTCACCTAGTAACAACATCTCGGTGTCTGCATAGCTTGATTACTAACAGAGATCTGAATACTTTATGCATGTCAGCTTAATTCTCATCTTTTCCAGGAAGCTTTTGAGAGTTGGGCACAGGCACAAATAATATTTTAGTTCTGCCTTCAGATTTGTGGAGTTTCAGGGCTAGGTGGAAAAGCTTTGCTAGCTAATAACATGGAAAGGAAACTGAGAAAAGTCTCTGCTCAGACTGGTGGAAAGCCCAAGCCAGTGGTTACACACCTTGTTACTCAGTGTTTCAATTTTTTCCTGGTCTAGTCGATGCTGCCGACTGTAGGCTTCAGCTGTTAGAGACACTCTTTCCACCTCCCGATTGAGCACACAGACAATGTTCTCAAAGGTCACCGTTTTCCTCTCAAGGGCCTCACATCTTCCCAAGAGCTCCAAGGACCTGGAGAGCTCTGACTCTGAGCACAGAGAGCTTGCTGCCAGTAGTGGGGAGTTGTTTTGTGATGAGGAAAAAGCAGGAAGGGGCTTTAGGTCTCCAGACCCAGTCTTGAGGCTGAGCACAAAGCTCAGCAGCATGTAGAGATGCTCCGCCAAGCACGTGCTTTCGTGTTCTAGTAGCTTTTCATTTTCCACCTACATGAAGAGAAATACATCCCCCATTCAGCAAGCTCAATCTATGCTGTCACCATCCACAGAACAAATTCCTCCTCTTGAGGTCACAGCGTTAGCTTTAAGTTATGAAGGGGAAAAAACAAAGACAGAGAGTTAAAAAACCTGTTTTGAGGGTGCGTATTTTTGTTTTGTTTTTGAAATGCTGCAAATCACATACAATGATGGATGCTTTCCCCAGCTGTACACATTGTTCTACTCTGTCTTCCTCTACTACTTCCCAAAAGGGCTCTGTCAGATATACTTAACAGCATCAAAGCACAAAGCCTCATGTAATCACCCGGAGGAAGAATTTATATGAACATCAGCAGTAGGTGCTGGAAAAAATAAGTCACACGGAGAAAAATGGCCTGGCCCCAGTTCAGTGTTTACAGCTGAAAGCAGCATAACCACCAGGGTCTCAAAGCACTCGGGGTGTTACTCAAGAAGGAAGAGGTTTCCTTCTACATTAAGTTAATTCTCTGGATACCCAGACTCTGGACAGCAGATGATGTTAAGCTCCTTTTGCAGAGAGCTTGAAACCCCACTTTGTTTAAATATCTGAATGCAAACATCTGTAACAATTTGGGCGACAACAGTTTACAGGTTAACTCTCACACTGGAACTGAAAACGAGTCCCAAGATAAACATCAACAGGCACGCCCTTACCACCTCAGTACATCCGACAACCTCAAACCTGCAAGGCACTTTAGATCTGCCACAAGTCTTCACATGGTCCCGAAACTAGAAAGGAAGACAGGCAATGTTAGATCTTATGTGTCCCCAGTAGCTCCCTTCCCATCTTGCTGACAGCTAGGAAACTGAAGATGATCTCAAGAACATCCAAGCCATCACTAATCACTAGCTGCCAAAGTGCACGGCTAAGCCTGGACACTGCCTACCATTAGGTATGACTTTGACTGTAATATAAATATAGCACTAACACTTGGAAGGGAGTTTTATTTCTCTCTCTTTTGACAGCTAAGTCTCACTTCTCACCTGCATATGCAAGAAAGAAAAAGCAACCAGCACAGGTACATGGATGCTAAGCAACAATCTTCACCAAGGGAAGAAGAAAGGGGAGCTTAGGAACAACTCTATGAAAGAGCCATTTAATTTTGTGCACTTCATGTAACACTGGTTGGGACGTACCACAGCTTGGTATTTTGACTTCCAGATAAGCATTATAAATCTGAGGACAAAAGGGCTTCCCAGTGGTCCTGCCTGAGTATTTGTGGCAATTACTGCAGGTCGGTCCACCTGTGCAGAGGAAGATTCTCTGCTGGATGCAGCATCATCCCACCAGGGCGCTGAATGACACTGCACCTCAGCCACCTCTTACCGGGCAGGTGCCGTGAAGAGCAGAGGCCAACTGGCTATTTCTACAGAGAAGTGCCACTAACTCCCAGCTGCCAAGATGATTTATTTGAGTTCCCACACAGTGCATGATTAATACTAAACAAGCACTGGCACATCTTGTTTTTGATATACCTCTCATCATCAGATATCAGTGGTCTGTTCTGAACAACCACCGTGTTCCACATTTAACACCTACATCTGCTACAACAGATGTTGATTAAAACTTTTAAAACCACTTTTTAAAAACCTTCTAGATCCATCTGGCTTGCTTAATGAGTCAGGTTACTCAGTTGCAACAGCTGCAGCTAATCAACAGAAGTTTGGAGAGAGATAAAAGAGGGAGTTGATATTTAAACAACGGATAGATCAGCTATGGGAATCCTACAAGCCAGTCTCTGCTGGGCTCCAGCTTGGAAGCAAACCAATCTGTATCCCAAGACCCCAGCACAAAGTCCTTCATTACGCTGCCCATTTAGAAGAACTCTTTGCTCATCTTTTTGATGCTTCTGTCCCCCCTGCCCTGCTACAAGGGCCTTTTGCAAAAATACTACTAAAAATATTTGCCTGTAGTGGGCAGGAAGGTTTCAGATGCTTTTTGAAGATGTTTCCCAAAACTTCAATTTCCAGATTTTTGAGCCTTGCCCCAGGAGCCAGCAGCATGAAGACACGGATTCCATTACATGATTAATTAGAAAGAATCCATTTAGCTGGGGATGAGCTTCCTTTCCGTAACTGCAGCAGTGATTGATACAGTTGCTTTACACAGGACAGAAGTACCCTGTAAGCCCATGAGCCTGCTCTCCCCATGGAGGCTCTGCACCCAAACACGGCACGCAGACTGTCAAAGGACAGTGGCATCGGCAGCACTAATGCACAACTACAATGCCAATGAGTCACATTCACTCACACCTGACCAGTATTTTGAGCCTTATGGGAAGATCACATCTGCACTAACAGCTGACATTTCATCGTTTTCCCCACTCCACTTTCTAAGGGTCTCTGTCTTCCTCCCTGCTCCGAGCCTGATGGTGTAAGCCCAGCAGGACACCAAATACCACCCGAGCACACGGCTCACCAACAGTCAGACAGATACCTTCTCCCTTGGAATCTTCTTCCCACAGCCTTCACAAGTCAGTGGAAATTCAGGGCAAACCTCGTCATGAGCCTGTAAAACAATAGATAGGAAAATATTTGGTCCTCTATATAAAACCTCCAATGAGGTTATATGATGAGCACAATTCAACAGGGGTAGTTTTATACTTTATTACAGAAGAGTGTTGTATTCCACCACACTATACTCAAATCTTGGTGACACTGATAATTCTGCTTGCTCACTCATACATGTGATCTCCAGGACACCAGAATTTTGGAAGCCTATGCAAATTTAAAAGCTGCTATAATATTTTTTTTAAAAATAAAATTATTGCTTTGATGAACAAGATAATCAACAGGAAGATCCATTCATGGCTCTGACAGAAAAATACACGTTCAGGCAGGTTGAGTGAAGCCACTATCTCATCAAGATCATTTGTATAATTTTTCCACTGTAATGGTTATCAGTCAGCTGAAATATGAACCCATAGCCTACTCATCACACGCTGGGCTGAGCTGTCTGATAGTATCTTCACATTCGAATCAGAAAACCATTTTTCAACCAGAAAAAAATACTTTAAAACGGTTTCATCTAATAGCCCCTGCACACAAACACCCACCCCTGCAGCAAGAGCACACACAGTTTGGCAGCCAGAGGAGCTGAACAAATGATAAGGGCAATGTAATACTCTGTCCTCAGCAGATACTAGGGCCAGTGACACCAGCTAAATTGGGAACACCAGAACATGCCTCTGCTTTCTGTGCCATTTCCACACTGCTTAAACCTTCTCTTTACATACCAACCAGTTGAAACAAGGCGCTGTAAATGCCATGAATATGCAGCTCAGAATCCAGATTAAAAGATAAGTGCACTGAAGTATCCAACCATGCTAGTAACAGGAAAAAACCCCCCAAAACCAGAAGCATTTATAAAGCAAGTCATATGAAACCAGATGCTTTGAAAACTTGGTCACATTTACTCTTTATTAACACAAGTAACTGTCTTGGGGGGTGAAACATGCACAAACTAAAATACTGTTACCACATCAGAAACTGGAAAGTGAAACCCATTAGTGGCTCAGCTTTGGCTTCTTAGTTACTCTCTCCTTTTTATACTTTAAATGAGTAATCAGACTAAAAGCCCCACTGCCATGTCCCTGGAAAAGCAACTGGCCATCCTGCCTGGTTCAGCTGGGCAGTGCTGCCTTCACAGACACCACTGCCTGCAGAGGAGGTGGAGGAGGCAGACAGCCTTCCTTCATCCCACACACTCAGAGGGGCCGAACCCTTTCTTCTACCCACCTACTGCTCTCATGTTCTAGAAACACCAGATAGCATCTTCCTCATGACCCACAAAATGCTGGCAGAACAACAGACAGTCTGGCTGAAGAAAGGAAACTTCGATGTAGAGACAACTATTTAAAAAGGGAGTGTTTAAAACTTAGGTTCTCCTGTGTCCACGTGCTAGGCATGAGACTACCCCCACCTCTGCACTCCCCACCTCCCAGCATTTGTCTTCCATCCCCACTCCACTCTACACTGAGATGTAACACCCAAGATGCAGGCAGCCCTGTGAAGTGTGCTCAGCTTGCAGCACGAGAAAGGAAACCAGCCCCACACAGCTAAACTGAACGTGCAACTGGTCAATATAATATAAATTAAGACACCCAGAAGCATTAACTTTAACTAGCACAGATCCAAACCTCTAGACAAACATTTTTGTATAAACAGTTTTTGACTCTTCTGGAATCCCCTGTTCCTTCCTCCTCTATGCGGGTGTCTAAACAGAGACGGATGGTATCACTGCTGGAAGAAATCCACCCCACCCAGGAGCCAAAGAGCAGGGATTGGCACTTAAGCCTGATCTGCCACACTCCACTCCCCCAGGAATGGGGCAATCCTCCTGTCTATATGTTTCCCAAACGCACATCTGTGTGCTTCTGCAGCACGGACGAGCATCTCTGACATTCAGGCATTCGCTGTAAACATTTTAGGCAGCTTTGAAAAGCCATCACTGTGAAGGGGTCTAGGTGAGAGCAGAGTGGAAATCAAGTCAGATGGGGTTTAGAGAGAGGGGATAGCAACTGAAGAATTAAAGCAGAGCTGGAAGACAATGGACTGGCTCAGACCTTCAGGGCTACTCTTCGGTTACATCAGCATTGACTTCTCACCCACTAGCTGTAAACTGAGGCACACACCAGCCTGCAACAGCCAACAGCAGGAGTAGGAAAATCAAACTGGGTAGAGTTAACAGCCTACACAGCAACACCTTGCTCTTCCCACTCAATTAAAATCAAAACTGCCGATTGATCTCACATCCATTTCACTCCCTAAAAATAAACTGCGAGACAACCCCACAGCAGCCTGTACATCACATGCCACCATCAGAACAGACAATTCTCTGGGAGCCAGCCTGGGGAACTAGAAAATCAGATACCACCACCACCACCTTTGGAAGGACCGGGGCAGCCTATGAGTACTCACTTGGGGCGCTGGCACTCGTGGGTGACCTCTGCGGCCACTCAGTCCTCCAGCACCTACTCATGCTGCTCTCCGGCACAGTGCCAGCAGGCTGCAATGGAGGGGTTGAGCCCTCCTCCCCTTGCCTGCAGGTCTGCTGGCAAATGGAGCTGCCTGTGCACACACCATAACTCTCCTACCTCAGAATCAGGAAAGTAGAAAAGCGATTTGCAATATTTGCAGTGGAAGTTTCTCTCAGGACACTCCCAGCACCCCTGGCAACCAGCCAGCAGGAACGGGCCGTTCCCTTTACAGCAGCTCTGCAACAGCAAAGGCAGCACATTTCAATGCAGCCATGCACAAAAGTGCATGCACACACAGGGGAAAAAGGGGGATTTAATAACAGCAGCTGATCTCTGAAGGAGGCAATGATTGTTTCCTAAGGAACACCAGGACAAGCTGCTCTGCTGCACCTGCGTAAGTAAAACAAAATGGGAAACTGCAGTTTAATCTGACTGCTGTTTTGCCTCTCGAGGCTTTGCTAAACCTGACTTGAGTTATGGAAGAGGCTACTGCTGAAAATTATTATCCCCATACCATGGTGGCAGAGCAGGAGTTGCACCTGTTTTCCAGCTGCCCTGCTCACAACCATATCAATTCAAGTCTGTTTTTATGGAGGTCTTGCAACCACTTTGGGAAATCCACCAGTGTGACACAGCACCCCCTCTTTCAGCCAAGCAGCAAAGCAGGCAGCTGAGAAAAGCAACCTTTAAAACAGCTGCTGTGAGATGCCTCTGCCAGACCCTGCAGGAAGGTGACTGCAAAGGGCAGGGCTGGCAGAGAGACAAGGTGCAGCACAACGGGCTTGGTGCTGGCTGCACACCGCAGCTCTCCTGCAGACATTCTGCAAGTTGATCTTTGAAAGCCATTGGTCCCTTCCAAGCACAGCCACAGCAACCATAAGCATCAACAAAGCTGAAAGGCTTGGCAGCAGGAAGGGAGCAATGAAAAAAGGAAGGAAAATTAACCAAATGGCAGAGGAAAGCCAGCTGAAGTGGCACGGGGCACACCAGAGCACTGTCAGGGGTTTCGCCCTGGCATTGCCATGTCCAGCACATGGCTTCTTTGGTTCCTTGTCCCGGCTACAAGAAAAAGGGTGGGCCCACAGGACTGTAGAGAAAATGAATCTCCAGCGTCAAAGATATGCCTCCCTAAGTTTTGAGGGAACCTGAATCCCTTGTGCCAAGAAGGACGAGTTGCTTTGTGCACCTCTGCCAGGTTCCCAGGGGCTCCAGAGCCTCCAGGAGGGGATTGTGCCGCAAAACACAGGTAGTTTGGGATGTCTTGCTCCTCTGAAGTTAACACTGCCCTTCCATCCTATGTCTCTTCCCCAACAGGGAAGTCCTAAGGCTTGTTTTAAGCCAGGCCTGCTCGAAGCTTTCCCCACACAGGTGGGCTGTGAACACGCACATGGTCCTTGTACTGCTGTGAGAAGCCCAGCAACACAGACCTGGAGAGCAGGAACCCAGTCTGTAATTCACAGCGTCAACCGGGAACAGAAGCCTTCCGATATCATCGCACCAGCTGGTGCCAGACACAAACTGCTCCCTTTGCTGGGAGACACTGGTGACAGAAATCCAAGCAAGTCCACTTAGAATCATAAATAATTAAACCTCAAAGAAAGTGTCAAAAACAAAGATTAAGTTACCATCAGTAACTGCTTGTGGCTTTAGTGGACGTGCGTATGACAGCGATGTCACAGGAAACCAGCACCACCTTTACTCTGCTGTCCAACACCATGGCATCCATCTGAGTTGAGGACAAAAATTGGCAGAAGAGATGTCAGGGGCACCCAGGGGCCTCATTCATGCCTCTCTTCAGAACCAGTACTAGAACTTTTGCTTTCAGCATTTAATGGTTTTGTTCATTGGCTTTTATGGCTGATTAGACAGATATTTGATTTGGGATTTATTGGTAGAGAGGGACATCAAGGCAATATTTCCTGCATTGAAGTTGGATGTTGAAAGCAAGAGCAAGTTCTGAAGAGGGCTGAAGGCACAAGTAACGTTTGAAAGCAGCAGTGGGCTTGCTACCCTTTCCTAAAACAGACTCTGTTTGCTCTGAACTACATGAGCACAAGGCACTGGCACACTCCGGGATGAGCTTTCTAAATCCCTCCATCATCCCAGAGGAATGATTTTCCTAGGGAGCCTCTAGTCTCTAATGGAGTGGGGCTGGGCCCCCAGAGCATTTTAGATAAGCCTGAGTCTGAACCTAACCTTACCCCACAGCCAGCTGGAGCCCACGCACCACTGTCCCTTGCCTCAGATGCAGCTAGCTGCATTGAAAAACAAAAAGACTAAATCCCCTTGCCAAGGAAATTAAAAATGATGGCATTGGGCTACACCGTGTAAACAGCTGGTTGACACACAAGGGAGGTTCAAATCAATCAGGAATGTCTGATCAGAGATAACTCCACAGGTCTTCTAGGCTACAATTAACAGTCACTGTCACATGAAAAATGCCCAGTATGTGCTGGTCATGTCTAATGAGGTCACTGCTTGAGAACAACCTACCACTGGGGAGCGTACTCCAATCATACCTCCACACTAA